GGGGGGGGGGGGGGGAGGGAGGGTACTTTAGGAATTTCTGGGTGGGGATGTGCCGCTGGGACCCTGGAACCCTTAACCTATACCAGAGCTAGTTCAGCTGAATTTTGCTACCCTATACTAAAGTAAACTCCCCAAATACCCCTATCCTAGAGTAGCTGTTTACCTAGTCTAGATAAAATCTTCAACCAACTGATCAGTTTCCTGAAAAATGATACCCTATTCTAGACCCGAACGTTCTGATTTATATACCCTATCCTAGAGAAAACTGCTTGCGGTTGCGGTGGTGGCGGCTTGGGCAGCATAAAAATTTTCTCCCTTTGGTGTTGATTTTAACTTGATAGAGCTGAGGCAATCAGAATCTTCTTGGTAGAACTACAGAAGTCATAGCCTGAGTATCAGGCGTTTCTGGGGAAAAGGGGAAAGATGGAAGCGAAAAAGGGAGAGAGGTGAAGGAGGCTACAGAAGTCAATACCAGCTGGATAAGGTAATATTAACGTCAAGACGATTAAGCCTTTCAAAATATATAATATTAAGAAAATAAACTTTCTTGATCAGCTCTTAGTTTTCTTTAAGTCAATATCCGAGGTCATTTTTTTATCCTTCCGGCTTCTTGCAACAAAAAATTTATTAAGCAACAAGAGAGGATGAGTAATTAATAGTATTGTCAGTCTTTCATGTCAGTTAAGAAAACTCTCTTTGTTAGCGGAGGCCGGAGCTTTATATAGGCCACGTTTCTCGCTTTACTTTTATCTATGTAATACTCCGAGGATGTTTTATCTCATTAATATACCAAATTGTTCCTACTGTCTTGCTTAGAAAATGGCGTGTTTTTTGTTGAGTCTGGTAAATTACTCGCTTTGCGACGAATCGATTCCCTTCGTGATCGCAAACTTAGAGGCATGGGTGGGACAGGGAAAAAGACAATGCAGACACTAATAAACGCTCAATGCTTTACTGTTAGGTTCCAATATCCAATAATATTTTTAGTTGTTATTTGCATGACTAATACACAAGGTAGGGGAATTCCCAAGATGTTACTATTACAAAACATTCAATTTTATTTCGGGGGAAAAACCCTAATAAGCTTTTCTTTCAAAAAAATATATTATCGGCGAGAAGGAAACATCTAGGTAGACGCTTTCAACATGCCGCCTGCGTTTTCAGTCCCTTCTCGTGAAAAATGGCGAAAGTACGAACAGGGCTCGATGGCAAAGCAGCAAGAATTTATGGAGAGATACAGAGAAGACTTTAAGAAAGTCCTTGTCGAAAATTCAGACGGCATTCAAGCAGGCGACCATCTCGTTCTTGAAAGAAAATATTATGTTCATCATATGCTGTGTACCTTCAGCGGAGATAACCATGTTATCGTAATACACTACAGTGGACCTGCTTGGGGTATCAGTAGAGCGTCGAGATGCACGTCTTTCAAAGATGTTGGAGTCAAGGGCGAAATAGAAGAAAAAATGTTTTCATTTGAGAAACTTGTGGAACAACAGGTACGTACTCAGTAAAGATAAAACCTTTTAACACAAAAATATCTTAGGCGCACGTGTTACTACTTCAGTCGCGAAGTTAGAGATCTTATCTTACATTTTTGTGGTCGTGTTCAGAGTTCGTGTGTCAATCTCCGCGGCCTGCGTCTGAAGACTAGAGAAAGAAAATAAAACCTCATCTAATATACGGGTGGAAATTTGCGTTTTATAGTCGGCTAGGCTTATATGCGTCTCAAAATCCATTGGGTTAGCTTATAGTTGGAAGGACATTTATCTTGGTTTTACTGAAACTCGCCTTAAGCACGTATATACTATATAGAGTGAATTTGAACAAATTACTGCAAATTATCACGAAACTTCGTTGGAGCAATAAGGACAACAACAATTAACTGCAGAGTAAGTTTCATTGATCTTTATTTAGTATTTCCTAGANACTATATAGAGTGAATTTGAACAAATTACTGCAAATTATCACGAAACTTCGTTGGAGCAATAAGGACAACAACAATTAACTGCAGAGTAAGTTTCATTGATCTTTATTTAGTATTTCCTAGAAATTTTAGAATGGTATTTTTACCCCATACAAACACTGTAATTGTACTGGAACTGTACTGTGGTACTATGACAGAGCCTGGGTTACCTGTGATTGTACCACAAATCGTGTGCTCGAATGGATAAATAATCAGGTATTAAACTACCGAGGAAAAGAAGGGGGGAGCATGAAAAGATCGGAATCACACTTTTCAATCTCCATTGCCCTTGAATTTGTTTCAATTTGGATTTTCAATTTCACTTCCTATCATGTTTGATGCTACTTCCGTGCGCGTTGACAAAATTCTTGAAATCATTATTTTTTTTTACGCAGAACTGGTCGCAGAACAAATCAAAATGCATAATGTTTTGGAGACTAAGCAAGTGTGTAGTCTTGAAAGAGTCACGATAAAATTAGAATTTCTGTAGAGATTTTGAATAGTATGTAATACTCCACTCAGCAGTGTGTATTATTAAATGTTTTTCTTACTCTTACAGGTCAAAAAGATCATCTGGCCAGCTCAATTAAAACGCTTTTCCGCGAAGGAAGTGATCAAGAGAGCTTTTACCAGATTGGGTGAAAACTGGTATGACATTCTAAAGAACAACTGTGAGCATTTTGTAACTTGGAGCATGTGCGGGCTGAAAGTAAGCCTTCAAATAGAACAATGGTACCTTACAGCACGAGAAGTCGCCTATTCTGCTTTCACAGGCCTGTATGACTTTGGTAGAAATATAACCAAAGAGAAAGTACTACCCCTACTTATCAAGCTCCAGGCTAATGTTTCCGATGAGCTGGCCGCTTTCATCAATGAAAATGCCCTCTATGTGGGATATGGGTTAGCAATCCTCATGGAAGCTGGCCTAGCAGGTCATGAGATCTACAAAGCATACACCTATTGTAAGACTATCGAAGAGTTTAAAGTCAAGTTCGTTGACATTGTTGCCAAGGCAGCTTGTCGTTTGGGCTTTGGAATCGTCGGATCATGCATCGGCACAGCGGTATGCCCAGCAGCTGCCCCGATAGCGAGCTTGGTGGGCGGTGCAATAGGAGCAGGTTTGGGGCATCTGTTTGGAGCTTTGATTGGCTGGTGGTATGAGAATTCCCCCTACATGGACGGGTAGAGACAAATGAACTGGATAAACAGTAACCTGTATATATATGAGACTGATGACCAGTCATTGACGAATGATTTTGATATCAATCGGCATGGCTTTGTGGCAACCCTAGCTAATCACTCTGTCCAGTGCTCTTTTTAAATCTATGCAGTACGCTTCGCTTAGAAGCACTCTCAGCATATTGTGTATGTACGTAGCCTTCCACCAAGTATATTCACCTTAGGTAATGCAATGGTGTTTAAGAATGTATTAAGCGTAGATGAGAAAAAATCTAGCTGAATAAAAATCTAGCTAGCTACAGTCAACTCTCTCTAAGACGGACATCTTTGGTACCGGCACTAAGTGTCCGTCTTAGAGAGGTGTCTGCCTTATAGAGAGTCAAATAAAGGGACTAAAGAAAGGCAGGGACCAACTCTAAGTGTCCGTTTTACAAAGGTGTCCATCTCATAGAGGTGTCCATTAAGAGATAATCTAGAGAGTCAACTGTATAAGCTGACATAGCTATCTGTGATTTGTGCTGCGTAGGAATATAAAAAAGGTTTAAATCGCAGTTTTAAAATCTGGGTCAAGCTGAGCAGTGTCTCGAAAAAAGAAATTCTAGTCACTAATCTTTTAAAACAAAATAAAATTGAAATGATAATAATATAAAAAGCATGAATCAAAAAAGTATAAATCTAAGACAATGTTTGAAGTTAAATGATAGCGAAGAGTAAGAAGGTTTCTGTTGGCGTCTCTGGCTGAGGGGCGTTACATCTCTGTTCTAATATGTACCTAACTTGTTGTATACAGTGAAAGTGTATCGTCGACGTGCAATACATTTTACGCTTTGGTTATGTTTTGCTAATGAAGTACATTGCTTCCTCAGTCTAGTATACAGTATTTTTTCGCTCTGGGAAATATCCCTCGTACTAAAGGTGAAGATAAAACATCTGTTTTGGCAAGACAAGGAAATTTCAAATTGTCCACACTCTGTATCACAGTCACCTGGGGTCACATATTATCTCCTGGCGTTTTAAGATCGGGTTTAAAAACGTCAATATAAACAAGTTGCTGATACGTTGTTTGTAAAGCTAAAAATAGAAAATGACGTTTTGAAGTCGCCCCGACAACATTTTCAAGTTAGAAAATAATATTGGCAATATTTTTTATTTTGAGAAAGGTTTGAACCCAGGAGTCATTTCAAAATTAGGTTGAGTTTGAGTCCGGGTGAACGTAGTCCTGAATAGGACTGTTGTTGTTGACAGTGACTGACGTTTTGACAACCTGTGCGGTAGTCATCTTCAGAGTCAAAGTGAGTTGTATCACGTCAGTTGATGGTATTATACTCTGATGGTACTCTGTCGGTTGACGATGTTATACTTTTTTATTTTGTTATTGTTGCAATATCGAAACGTTGAGCAAAATGTTTTTTTCTATTATTTCTAAAATAAAAGCCTTGATTGTATTTGGGCATTTATGTGACCTCAGAATAGAGTAGTAGTAGAGCATTTCTTATCTTTGTGTCCTTTGTTAGGACTATCTATGTGTACTAAGTATGCTGAAAAAAATCTTAAATTAAAAAAAAATTGTCTACAGAATGGCTCTGGTATTTATTTACTCAGTGGGACCAAAACATTTTTGTTACTATAAAAGACTACTGCAATCGTTGTTCCTGATAAACAATCAAATTCTTCAAACGTCATGTCTCCTTTTTCAGCTTACCCAACAGCAATACCCAACAGTTAATCCCAATGGTGATCCATTAAGACCATTTATTTGGATACTAATTTCTCAAAACAAAATAAGATGGATTATGCTTGTAAGCTTCACACGACTCTGGCAATGGATTCTTTCACAGCTTGAGGTTCACTTTTCATACACTTAAATTTCTTTATCGGGAGAATCTGGTAGGGCTGAATATTATTTGCAGAACTTATGTATTTCTAAGAACAAGAAAAAACTTTTTGTGAGTGATGACCCTCCCTTGGTTAAAGAATTAATATGTAAAGTATAAGCATGTTATTCAACCTCGTTCCCAGGGTTCTCTCCTACCCGCCCTACCCTGGCAGGTTGCATGTTGTTAAGAAGGGTAGCCCGCCAGGGTCAAATGAGGGAAATTTGTGAAATCACGAAGAACACTTAAACCAGGCTACGGTATTGAGAGTGTTATCCTCCTTATCATCATTATTTTTGTTGTTATTATTATTGCTAACTTAATTGATTTCCAAAATTTCGCTTTCTGAGTCACCTATATCGTAGTCTTTATTGAAACCAAAATATTCCTCATTACTGTTTCATATTGTCACAATTTTTTGTTTTAAGAAACGGCTAGAGGATTTCATACAGAATCTTCTCGTTAAGTATGGATTTATAACACATGATAATACCATTTAACAATAGGTTATATGATTATTTTTTGAAAAATTATAGTTATTTATTGTTTAAGGCTCCATTTCCACCTTTATTTTGAGTCTGGTCTTTGATCATTTCCAAAGAGAGACTCTTTAATGGGGAGGAATATTGGCTCATTTTCTCGAACAGTGGCTGGTAATAGACTAGTTTCTATATATTAAAATTCGCACTTGAATGAATACTACATTTCTTTTGTTTTATTCCCCCAAGCCTTGGAGCTTAGTATAATTTTAATATATTGAAATTGGTCGATTGAGCCTACCACTGGTTACCACTATTTCTTATTTATGTACAAATGTTGCATTTCACTGGTGACAAAGTGATTTGTAACAATCTTTCAGTGATAATCTATTGTAGAATAAGATCAATTAGATCCACCCTTAAGTTACACATTCTCTAACATTATACTGCTCTAGTACCGCAAAAATTCATTGATTATGAATAATCTAAAGGGAATAAATTTGTATGTTTCCTGGTTTATTAAGTCAATGCAATGGCTTTTTTGGGTCCCAAAATATTACAAACTAATTCAATCATTTATAGATGTAACCAGGCGCCCATCAAATGGGCTCCTGATGTAACTCATCTTTTAGTATGAACACCTACACTATTGTTGGAAATCATGGTTTGTAGGAGTAAAAAAAATAATAGAGAGATTAAGCTTCACATATATGGCAAATGGCAAATGGCAAATGGCAGATTCAAGTTGAAAATTTCTCAAAATAGCAAAAATGGTAGAAATAATGAACAGTAAACAACAAGTAAAGGGGAAACTTGGTCACATGGTACAAATTTGCCTTTTTCCATTTGACGTAAGCATGATGCTTAACCTCTCTAAAAATGGGAACATTCATAATAAGGAGATTTCACTATATAATCATAACTATAACAAAATTGTCAAATCTGATTGGCTATCAACTGCCCTGATTTCAGCCTTAATTGGACAGTTTAATAGGACAGTACATGTCATGCCTAAGTAATTGGACAATCATGCGCGTGCTTAAATGGCCTTTTTTTTCTCTGCTAGCAAAACAAAATTTTGAATTTCTTGTGTTTTGATTTAAAAAATAGCCTATGTATCACAAATTTTGTTAAAGTAATGATTAATTGGTAACAGGACTTCGTGTCGTCCAATTAAGCCTGTAATAATACTTGTGACTAAACAAATCGGACTCCCGCTACGGGTTCGTCCGACTTTGTTAATCACTTGTATGATAACAGACCGAATTGGACTCCACTCAGTCCTGTTACCATTACTAATAATATTAATATGTAATATTAATTATTAAAAAATCCTAATTTTCACAATATTGATCATAAAAGATTTTTCTCAAACATAATCTTCTGAAATCCTTCGGGAGCATGATAGACAAAATCTGTGAAATTAACATCAATGATTGATCCATCATCAACTGAAAGAAAAAAAAACAAATCCATAAGTAGCTTTGGCATGATCTTAAGTCTTGAATAAGACTGTTGATGTTGGTGACTGACGTTTAGACAACCTGTGCAGTAATCATCTTCACAGTCAAAGTGAGTTGTATGACATTAGTTGATGGTATTAAACTCTGGTTATTGACCTGATTGGTCAATTAAGTCACAATGTTATGGTCATCTGTCAGCAAGCTGTGATGTTGTTGGCTATGAAGACTCAACATGTCATCGGTGCGTTTCAATCCATCTATTGTCACAGTCACAAAATCAAATCCCAGATGGTTATTTTGAGTATAACTCATGATATGTGAGGAAGAGAAAGGCATATAGAGTTATAGTTAGGACTATTAAATCAACAAATGGATGCACACAGAATGGCATAAGTGGCCGTTTGTTATAGGTCTTTCCTAGGAGACTGAGCCATACCCAGATTGCTCTCCTTTAACTTCAATTTTATTTTTGTTTCTGACATACATTTCCCCATACTTTTCACATGGGAATGTAGGCCTGAGGAAATACAAGACATTGAAAGATTTATTTATCCTCAAATTGGAATTCTACCAACCATAAAAAACTGGGTAAACTGTTCCCTTCATTCCTGTCAAAGGACAATGCAAGTGTTTTCCATTGAGGTAGAAATTCAGTTCAACATGGTCATAGGTGCAGGCCTAGAAACAAAACAAAAAGATAAGAGTTTGATCATAATTTTTTCACATAGCAGAAGCAAATTCCTATAGGTCATTTGCACTAGGAGGTCACGTGACACCGTTTTTATGAAAATTAAAGTTATGATTTTGCCTTCGAAAAACGATTAGTAGCTGGTCATATCTTAAACACTATAATAGTGATTTGGTTTTTTGAACCTGCACCATTTTCTTGAAATGAGTAAGTTCGCCGCTGGTCACTTCACCAAAAATATGATTTTTAAAATTTTGAATTACATCGTTCTGAACTCAAATTTTGCACTTAAACTTCAAGGGAAATGTTGAAAAGATGACATGATAATGTTTCCAGCACATCTGAGCGTAACTATCAAATGTTTAACAAGATATAACCAAAAAGCAGTTTTGGCCGCCATGTTGGAGGGCAAACTCTAGCCCTCCAACATGGTGGCCAATACAAATCATTCTACTTTGTTGAAAAATCAAAGTGCCATAAAATGTCTCCCTTAAATGCATTTCCTCTCAAATTTTGGGTGAAAGATAAGTTTTATGTGGTCTGTCAATTTTTGGCATCAGCAAGATTCCAACTCATTGTTTAAAGGAAGCATTGGTCACATGACCTCTTGGTGCAAGTGGCCTATTGTCATCAGATCATTACCTTATTATAGGGAATTAACGCTCCATGAAATTAAAGTATTGGAAAATAACGCGACTTAAATTAACGCGAATTTAATGGAAAACGACTTTCCAATAAAGAAAATTAACACGAAAGAGGAGGTAGAATTTCATAATAAAGGAAATTAACGCGATTAAGACACAGTGGGTGGCCGAAATCAAAGGAGAAGATACTGACATCACTTCTGACAGCGACAATGATGAAGATGAACTCGAAATATTGTAAACATTCGCCTTAGCTTTTGTGAAAGATGAAAAATAAAGGGTAAATGGAAAGAGAGAAAGCTTGTAGTTAATGTTTTTTAGGTGTCAAGATTGTCTGGACAGGTTCCAAACTTGGGGTTAAAATACTGGAAATTAAGAGCGCGGAAATTAACGCTGCACTTAATTAACGTCACGGAAATTAATGCTCAACAAAATTAACGCGGCTTAAATTAACACAAATTTTAATGATTCGCGTTAATTTCCTATAATAAGGTATTCACCATTTCAGCAAGGTTGTCACCACAATTTCTAGTTGTCAGGAAAGGGCAATTAGTAGGGTGGAAAATGAACCCCTAGGAAGATTTTAGGTTCAGCCAGAAATCATGTTAGGCTGTTAGTGACAGCCTTAAAACCAGTGTTCCTTTGACATGCATATATAAACACTATAATGTGGTCTCTAATCTCCCCCTCTGTACCCTTCTAAGATGGTTTTTAAGGGGGAGGATCCAGATTTGACAAGAATATGTTGTGGTTCAATTTTATCCTAGGTTCAAATTTTATTTTCCTTTGTTTCAAACCCATTATCATCTATTACCAGACCCAAAAACAAAGGAAAATAAAATTTAAACCAAGGACAAAATTGAACCACAACATAAATTCCCTGCATATATCTGAATGGGAATGTTTCTGTATATTAGATTCTCCAACAATTTGGTACGCATGTCATAATGTCAAATGCGCCAAAAAGGTACATGTACAATTAATGTAACTGGCACAGTCAATTAGGAAGATCACTTACTATCATATCTCCTTCCTCTGGCACTTCTCTGAGCCTGTGTCGCACAATTCCATTGTGTGCAACAGTACCATCAGATCTTAAAACCCAGCTCTCAGAATTGTTCCCTAAAGGTATCTTGTTCAAGTCACATTTTTTTGTGGCTAGTCCTACCCCCCATGCGCCTGTCAAGTGAACAGCCAGAGAGGGTGGGTGAGTACAGTAAGTCAAGTCACATGTCTGCAGTTGAACCTCCAATAAAGGGTCACCTAATCAGTCAGCCAGTAATCAATGTCTCAAAAAAATGCGGAAAATTGAAATCATTGTAAATGAGGCCACCTCCAACAAGAGGCTGCGGCCACCTTTTGGTTATCCTGATGAGAGTTCTCCTGGTATCGTCACGTCTATTAAGCCGCAATCAAGCATTTGATACAGTTAGGCCTGGGTCAGATGCCAAACTTTTCATGAGCCGAACCTAATTCAAATTAAGGCCGACCCAAATTATTTAGACCAGCTCAAGTGATTCAGACGTTTATCTTAACTCCAGCCGAACTAAGTTCAGGAGGCGAAAAATGCGCGTTTCGGTCAAACTGCTTACAAAATACATTATAAGAATTTCTGCATTTGGTTCGGTACGTGAAAAGTTCGGCGTCTGAATCAAAGGCGTTCCAAAGTCGATCCAAAGGCAAAATTCTCAGCCGGGTTAGGTGAAAAGAATGGCTGAGCTGTTCCAAATTGAAACAGGCGTTCCTAATTGATTCAGATGCCAAACTTTTCATGTACTTAATTTAATGTATTAGGTTCGGCTCATGAAAAGTACGGCGTCTGAACCAGGCCTTAGTTTGGCTTTATTTTAAAAATATGATGAGGGAAATACACGTACAGTCCGAGATAGAAGGTGTTGAATGATTGTGGTCCAGTAATGCCACTGTTTGTCGCTAAATAAAGTAATATTCTTGCTATGCTAATTTATGACAAACCTCTATTGGGTGGCCAACCTTCATTAAATGGCAACTTGCCGGTACCCTTGGGGTGGCTGTTTGATGGAGGTTTAACTGTATAATATTCTGGCATTTGCCCACCTACCCCTCCCCCAAACCAGTAATCTGTCTTAAGTGAGAAGTTAGTGTAATAGCATTGGCTTAGGGGACGGGTAGCTGCATAGTAACTAAGTGAAAGGGTACTTGCCAAGTGGAATTCAGTGACAGTTTCTTGGTTTTCTACTCAAATCTTTTGATTCAGTGTAAATAGTCAGTGATAAACCACTCATAAAACTTTTTCTCATCAACATAATACTTACATATACAGTACAAACTCGACAGAAAGAGTTAGGAATTAAACCCTGTTATCATTCTTTACAATTAATGCTTACCTCCAGATTGTATCTTCATTTCAAAGTAGCATTTATTTTGAACGATAGCTGCATTCGCCAAAGCAGCTCCTGATCCGCAGATCCTCTTCCCAGATTTCACAATAACGACCTCATTTCCTGAAATATAAAGGGGTCTCTCTCATCCAGGTAAACACCGACATACATGTATGAAATTATTGAAGCGATGAATAAGTTAAGCGTGAAAAATACACAAACTAATTCAGGTTGTAATTTGCTCACTGACCCATTTGGCCGGTATCTAGCTGGACTTGGGAGACCTCTTTTGGCTGTGGGGTTCTGGGTTGATGATACCGTCTTAAGCAACATAAAATACCTAATCCACAAGCCTCCATTATCTTTCTTTTGAAATAAGATTGTTTTTCATTTCAGCTTGCCACATACCTACTTCCTTTACTTATCGCGTGACTCACACGAGAAACTGGGCTCCAATAGCCTCGTTTTGAATCGACACACCGAATTCGTGTCCAGTTTTTACTCGTTCTTGTACCAAAATGGCGGCTTTATCACCCACGGTTGCTGGTAAAGACATTTTACTTAATTTTTTAGTAGATTTTATCCTTAGATACCCTTTTGTCAGTTGCAGAGCGTTAACTTTGAACACGTTTTCTTTTATGTCTTACTACAGTTCGAGGATCGGAGGGGATATCAATGATTCACGGCCCCCATTCGTTCAAAAAACACGACGGATTTGGAAGGTTTGTGACCATATCACTTGTGATTCTGTGCCAATCCCATAACGCTGCGTTAAGTTTAATTACTGCTAAAGCGTGTTAAAGCGTTCATATTACGGTTTCTTTAAAAATCTTACGTTCAGATTCCCAGGACTAAGTGATACCGCATTTTAAAGTCCGTCACTATAATCACCATCACGCATATCACAATCACCGTCAGCTCCATCTTTTGAGAATCAACCTACTGTAGGGAAATCGACGTTAAATAAAAATATGTAGAGAGGGCAGCTTGAAAGTTGATCTGAACGTTGTACAGCAACAGACACACATAAAATTACATTCAGTGCGCACATGATTGAGGTTGACCACTAGCAGGGTTTATGTCCCGACTAAGCAAAAAGCAGTGTGGTTTCTTTTCCATGCCACAAGAGTCACATCAGGGTCCACACATACATGTAAGCAGCAGTTAAGCAGTTCATGATCAGTATATGTCATCTGCCTGGGATTTATTTTTTGTATGACATGTTCTTATAGTTGTGACAATAATAATTATTGTTTATGATTAAGTTTCACTAATACAATTTTTCAGTGATGATCATCCGCGATGCAGAGTGATGGCTTTTAGCTCCGATGGATCTTTGTTTGCTTGGTGTAATGGTGAACGGTAATTTGCATACTTTTTGCTTCTTATGACACATATAGCTAGGACAATATTAACAATAATAACGATAATGATAATTAATAACAATACTATCAAAATCATAACTGAAGTAATGCACATTCTGATTGATCATTTCTTATTTGCATGTGGGTGAATGCTAATATCAGTTATAATTGAGTGCTATGCTACGCCAAAAGTGACAAAATATCAAAGATGCAACTTTATAATTCAAATCCACCNAATGCATAAAAACAAAACATTGTAACATCATAATTATTATCAGTCACTGACATCGCTTAGTTATTGCTTACAGGATTGTGCTTAAGTCCAGGTTTGCTCGCAGCTGCAAAAATTGGGATTTTTCATGTGTTTGCGAAAAATCGCAAAAATCCCAAGGTTGGCAATTTTTTGAAAGCCAGTTGAGAAAATTGCGAAAAATCAAAGTCTGATGATTTTTGTCATTAGTTGGAATTTTTCGCAGTTCTTTGTCATGTTGATGCTCACTTTTCTCGTGTTCATGATCACTTAAGTCTAAAGCTGGTTGCCAATTTTACCAAAGTTGTAATAAGTCTGTCAATTTTCTACTTTACTTGCCATTTTGGCATCTCCCTGTCAGTGCAATTAAAGCACATTTTCACACAAAAGCTAATGCAGCTCTTTAAATAAAGGTTTATGTTATCTTAAGGTTCGAGCTAGATCCGTGAGGTTCCATTGTATTTCAAGTTTCATGTTATACCTTGTTGTTTAAACTAGGAGTATTTGAACAAGGGACCAAGTATCATTAAGGATGTATTTGTCAGCTGATCAAGTTAGACGCAGTGTCTTTCTGTATTTCCTGATTGATGTGTTATATAAATAATTATTCCACAGTGTGATAGTGGTGGAAACTTCCAAGTTCAATCTAGTTTGCAGTATCCTAAAAGAAAAATCTCTTTGCTTGGCATTTTCACCAAAAGGCACTCATCTGTCGATATGGGAACGATATGCAGGTTAGATCATTAATGAGGTAATTGTATTTGAATATTGTCCTGCAGCATTGTTTTAAAGGAGGTGGCAGGGTCAAAACTGTAACACCACATAAAAACATGTAAAAACACTATAAAAGAAACTATAATACCACAAGAAAATTTACCAAATTTCCTAAAATCCACAAACTACTCACCCTTTGTAAAATTGCAATGCTGTTGGTTAAAGTTAAGGATTTGGAGACTGGAACTTGCTGGAATTCTTTTAACTGAAAGACAATAGATAGTTCTCATCTCTTTGTACAGCACTGTAATTACAAAATGCAGTTAAAATCTACTTGTGCTCTCTTTTTGTGAAATCAGTGACCCCAAATCAACCGGCTGGAACAAACAATCTTGAAATCTGGCATCTTCAATCAGCAAGACTAGTCACTGGATTTTGTCAAAAGAAAAAGGATACATGGTTGGTATAACAAATCATTAATTACTCAGCCCCATAGTACAATGTTCCATATTAATTTAATGACTTGGCAATAAACTGTAAAATCTGTAGTAGCAGACCACAATTTGAAGTTTGCTTGGGCCTTCAAAAGGGGGGTTGGCAGCAGTTTCACTTCAAGACTACTTTGATGAATAATTTTAATAAAGGGTGCAAGGAAAAATCCAAGTGCTAATATTTATTGACTACCAGTTTATGAAACTAAGGTGGATTTTGACTCGACTCTGAATGAGGAACCAGCACAGCACCTAATGTATTTTGTGCTCCCCTCTCAGTGTTGTTTTAATCAACAGTTGGGAGATAAACTGACCAACCATTCCGGGGGGAATGATATTCCTTCTGACATGGGGTCACAGGACTATACAATGGTGTATGTAGTTGATATACTTCAAGACTAATGTGAAACAGTTATGAAAGTGAATATGTGAGATTTGATATCATTAACACAAGAATATAATTGACCATCTTAGTTATGAACACAACTTTATAAAAAAAGGTATTTTCAAAAATGAAGCCTAAAAAATACAGGCTTCAACGAGTTTTGAACCCATGGCATCTGCAAAACTGGTGCAGTGCTTTTGCCATTGTGCTATCAAGTCAAGTATGTCAAGAGCTATTCACTTACTAAGTTTGTATATGATATACCTATGGATGATGAGAAGTCATGAATGTGAATATGTTTAATTTCATAAAAATTAAACTGGGTAAGAAATATTCAAAAAAGAGAAAAAGAGAAAGATCACTGCATTTTTGTATGCAAGCTAAGCAGTTGCAAAAAAAGTACAACCTTGATCAGCCTAAAACAGAGTGAAACAGGGTACAAAAGTACTGATAGCTGTTACTATTCATTTTTGTTCCACACCCATTAATTTAATGATTCATGTATTTTTTAATAATATCCAGGGAGCCCAGGTGGAGTGATGATGAGTCAGTGTGCGCTCGTTCTGTCACCAATGAAGTACACTGCTTCCATGATGCAGATTTCAGTAGGTGTTAAAATGTTTATTTGTTCACTTTTAAAACTGATAAAAACACCTACATGTAAGAACAAAAGTAACCATGTAGGTGCATGTACGTTTATTAATGTTAAGCATTGATAACCATTCAAAGTTTTAGACAATCTTTTTTCTCAAACCAATTCTTCAAAGCTAATTTTAGAAGAAGTCTGGAAAATTCAAATTAAGTCTGGAAATAATGCAAAAAATATCTGGACATTTAAAAACAAGCCTAGAATGCCTCTTGCTTTTATAAGAAATAACAAGTCGAGACTATCATTTTGCAGCACAAACTTTTCACATTATAACTTTTTTCCTTTTTCTTTCCTGCTAGCCTCAATTGCCACCAAACTAAGGCTTCAAGGTGTTTCAGAGTTTGAGTTGTCCCCAGGTCCCCCTCCATTTACTGTGGCTGCCTACGTTCCTGGTGTGAAAGTGAGTATCGCATTCAGTGCTCTTTCAGTCTAAGTTAAAGCATGAATAATTACAGTACATTTAAGCACCATCTACATTTATGTACTTTCATTATGATACTTTACAATCAAATTAATAAGAAACAGTAGTAGGCACTGTGGAAGTTTGTACCTTCAAGTGCACCTGTGTAAAATTACAAGAAGATGCCTGCTATCCACACATATCTTTGAAAAAACTGCAGTTTTTGTTACTTCATAAACTTTTCTTACAAAAAAACCTTTTTATTATATAAACACCAATGAAATACCAGGTGAGCTTTCGCGCGAAAAAATGATATCTTCACATGTGAAAGTAACATGTTATTTCCACGTGTGAAAACATCACCGATGCTATGGCTACATAATAAATCGCGCCTTTCGCAGGATAAAACTGTTTCAGTGAAATGGTTTGGTATTTCATTGGTGTTTATATAATAAATAGAACATTACATGGCCGCTTGGAGATACGAAATTACACAAGAAGAGAAATTTCGTATCTCCACGTGGCCATGTAATATCCTCTATATCCAAGACAAAACTTTAAGATAATCTACCAGTAACAAAGTGTTTTTTTTAACTGTCTCCCTACAACTGAGTGAGCTGAAACACATCAAAAATGTACAGTACCCATGCAGCCTTTAACCCTTTAAGTCCAAATAGTGACCAACAGCAATTCTCTCCTAACGATATCCATACATGATCATGAGATGAGGTTATGAGAATTAATTAAATGCTCACCTAAGAGAAAATACTTTGATCTTTTATCAAATTCTCTCAACTCATTCTTTAAGGAAATGTATAGAGATCAGTTTGGAGAATTTGTATGTGGATATTGGGGCTTAAAGGGTTAAATACATGTAGTTGCTGAATTTGTTGTAATTTGACATTTAGGGTGCCCCATCATATGTACGTCTGTTTAGACACCCCAATTTTGACAGCCCTGCTTCTGTCCTTGCCAACAAGAGTTTCTTCAAAGCTGACAGAGTAAAAATGATGTGGAACAAGAAAGGTAATTTATAAACATGAGAATGCCTCTCTATGGCTCTGCAAAATTGCCAAGTACACAATACTATTACAGTCAAACTTTACAGTAGTAGTGTTTAAAATATAAGTTGTCCCGCTAAACTAACAGTTCAGTAAAACCTGAATGAAGCATACACAACTGTGAGTGCATCCTAAACAGTTGTATTTTTTGTAAAAAGAACCTTATCAAATGGATGCCTCTATTAAGCATAGCTCCTTAAAAAATGTTTGGATTGCAGCCAGATATTGTAAGAAAGTTTACTCTATTTGCAGGCTTTACATGATACAAATGCTTGTAAAATTTATTTGTCTTGTTTTCAGGTGCGGCTGTCCTTGTTATGGCGATAACTGATGTTGACAAGACAGGAGCATCATATTATGGTGAACAAACATTACAGTTCATAAGTACATCTGGTGAGAGCAGCATGGTACAGCTAGGTAAGATATGGAGAGTGACTGACACTGAATATCTCCTTACTCTATCAAATCAGTGAAATGTTTGAACCCAGGAGTCATAGGTGGAGCATGATTTGCTGGATGAGTGTATTCCTGAATAGGAATGTTGTTGACAGTGACTGACGTTTTTGACAACCTGTGTGGTAGTCATCTTCAGAGACAAAGCGAGTTCTATCATGTCAGTTGATGGTGATAAACTCTGGTTATCAACCAAATCAATTGGTTAATAAATTAGGTGGCAATACAACTCACTTTCTCTCTGAAGATGAAAACCACACAGGCTGATGAAACATCTGTCACTGTCAGCAACAATCCCATTCAGGAATACACTCACCCATGTCCACCTATTTATCAATTCACTTAAGCAGGAAGGTAATGACAAAAATCAGTTATGGGTTAAGAAATCCAAAATTGATTAAACTGGACCTTCATCAAGTGCATTATTATTTTGGTCAGATGTTTGCCAGTTGACCTCTTCTTGTGATTGGTTACTTGTTTAAGGTTGTAGTTAGGAGCAACATTAACTTAATACTTTGCACTTTACTAAACTTGATTTAATTTTTTTTTCATTCAACTAAAACGTTATATTTCTGTCAAAGAAGGAGTTTTTGCTCAAAGCTGTTGGTTTGGCTTAATATTTCCAAAAACTGTCACATTAAGGTAGACTTCCACTGTGCATGTGTTTGTTGAATGTGTTTTTCTTGTTTTCAAAGGTAAGAGAGGCCCAGTCTACGCTGTCCAGTGGAGTCCAAACTCCAAAGAATTCTGTGTGGTTTATGGTTGTATCCTTTTGTTCAATGAATGGAACAAAGGCTAGCAATGTCTTAGTTTAGTGGAAAAATAATGTAACTGTGTAAGTAGAGAACTTTTCAATACTACTATGTCGGACAATAAGAATAAAATTCTAGGTTCAATGTAGCTACATGTACCCCTCCCCTAACCCAATGTTAATGCTTGACCTACCCCTACCTTAAACCAATGTTAACATTCCATCTACTCCTCCCTCAACCCAATGTTAATGCTTGACCTACAATGTACCCCTCCCTTATCCCAATGTTAACACTTCACCTATGCCTCCCTTAACCCAATGTTAATGCTTCACTTCCTCCTCCCTTAACCCATTGTTGACACTTCACTTACCCTTCCTTTAACCAAACGTCAACACCAACTTCTCACTTAGGTCAAAATGTTGGGTGAGGGGAGGGGTAGTTAGGTAGTTTCTTAGAAAATTATACTGGGAGACAAATAGCTTGCGTAGGATGGTGCTTTTGATCGGGCGCGCAAAAAAGCCAAGGTGGGCGAGGGCTTTGTGGCTTCACCCCTCAGCAGTGCACCCCACAAAACCTTAACCGCCATAATATGGAGGCTAAGAAACATAGTTTTTTTCATTAGCTATGTTTACGTGAACTGTTACTCTGTTCAAGTTTCATTTTCAGCTACTGGTGAATCTGTAATTATGTTCCTTAGTTCCAATGTCTGATATATCATCCTTGACAATGTTTGACCAGTCATGCCAGCAAAGGCTACACTATTTGATCTTAAATGCAATCCACTGTTTGACTTTGGGACTGGACCAAGGAATGACATCTTCTTTAATCCACATGGAAATAATATCCTTTTTTGTAAAGAAATGCTCTCAGAATAAATGCAAAGTACATAATTATGTCACTACCCTGTAAGCAGTGATTTCTCCAGGCAAAAGGCCATAGTCCCCTGCCTTTCAGAGCCTTTCAAAAGTGACATATCGAAGAGCAGAGGTGCAAAAGGATCTTTTCTTGCAAAGAGAGAAGGTAAATTATTATAATAATGTTGTTTTTGTGTTGCTGTCACTTTGTTTGACAGACAACCTTCATCTGATCAGAGGATAAAACAAAATAGAGCATTTTAAATAGGTCTCCATAGCTTAGTTGGTAGAGTATTGCAGGGCAAATGGAGGGGCCATGAGCTTGAAGGGCTAATGCAGGGGCCATGAGCTTGAATCCCATTGAAGCCTTGAAATTTTTTTGTGGGATTAATTTGCAATTGCTTAAATTGTGTTGTCTTCTTCAATGTTCATAATTTTATTTAGTTTTGTATTTCTGCAGTTCACATCATCTTAATTCAAAAACCAGTATAATAACTATATTCTTGGGGATCAGAGTCATTATCTTTATCCTTAACTATTGGTACTTATTTGTTTGGCTGGATTTGGAAATCTTAGAGGCCAACTGGTAAGAGGATGATGTTCTTTGAAACATTGTTATTTGTACTTTATCTTTCCTGTTTTATTAAAGTCGTTTTGCTATTGAAAATAGTTTCTATGCTCGCCACCTTATACATGTACCGATGTAGGTGATTTCTGATGATCTTCTACGCCTATCCCAGAAGCTTAAAGCAACGGTAACATGAGTAACAGAAACGTGCAACTTGTTTTGCAACATTCCTGCAACCGGTTAAAAAGGATGTTGTGCATTTTACCACCCACTAATCACTCCTGACTTAGCTTGCGAAAACATCCGTTTCTCCTCGCTCTTCTTCGCGAGGAGGAACGTCTGGGACTCAGCGACAGAAATTGATGGCGTAAAATCTGTCCGGAATCCGGTCAGAAGTGCTGATTGGTAGCGCGAAACCTCCCCAGCGGCGAAGAGCGAGGAGAAACGGATGTTTTCGCAGGCTACTCCTGACTTGCATGCAACATATCAGGTTGTTGCAATTTGCTTGAATAGTGATTGGATTTAAGCGGGAGTCACTCCACACGTGGCACACGTGGGTGTGATGTCACTTGCTGCAAAACAAGTTTGCCTTAAGCCGGTAGAACGAACAGCATGTACAGATTTTGTTGCAAAAAGTAGAACTACTCCTGGCCTCCCACGCAGACGTTCTTAGGGGTTCGTCACGCGTTCCGTGACGAGCCAAAAGAACGTCTGCGGAGGAGGCTAAACTACTCCCCGTCTCGCGCCTGCAGTCACGCGCGTTTGGCTCGATGGCAGGCTCGATGGATTGGGAAAAACGACAGACTGATCGTAATTTATAAAATTTTGTAAATCCACTAAAAGCTAACTTGCCAAAATTAATGTCAATGAAGTGTTCACTTTTAACAATACATCTAGTATGATATTATTTATCAATTATTGTTGTTCTTGTTACAATATTTATCCTGGTTACAATATCCCGGCTCACACTGTATAGACTGCAAAATAGTCCGTTTTTTGCGTATTCAAGTACGCGCGAGCAGTCAAACAAAAGGTCTGGAATGAGGCTGAAAACAGAGAGCGAGACTGGGAAGAGACGCTAAAAATACGTATCGGTTTTTTTTCCTCCCGCCTAACACGCCCCACGGGCGTGTGAGGCTCGCGCGCTTCTCGCGCGTAAGGCTCTTACGCCTCCCTTTACCGATTTCTTTACTGATTTTGAGAAAAAAAACAGACTGCATGTTTTGCAGTCTACACACTGTACCGCATAGCTTGCATAGCTCGTGCCGACACGAAAAGCTATCCAGTGAACACCGATCCGATATGTGACTCTTCACTTTAGAGATCGGTGCGGCGTAGCTTCGCCCCGTTACAGAAATCGCGCCAAAATAACCCGTTCTTATGCGTGAACAGAAGCCCTATCTATCTATCCGGGTATGGTTTTCTTGCCGACGCAAATGCTATCCGGTATAATGGGAACATAGCCAAAGATTAATTAAGAGTTTTTTACTCACTTTTACAGGAGCTCTGGAGTAGAAAGGATTTCAAGTTAATAAGTAAACCCCAGGTAATATACTTGAATTTGTCAAAAAACAAACAAAGACAAAACAAAAACAAAAACAAACAAATTACAGCGAAACGAAACACTTTTTTTTTGGAACTGAAAAATTTTAATTCAGATCCATGTTGCGATGTCGTAGAATTTTCTGTTTTTTGGTAAAACTTAAATTTTGCATTATAAATTTTGTAAAATTTAACTGATATATCTTGACTCGCTCAACAGGCAAGTGACTCAACATCACTTGAGTGGTCTCCAGATGGTGAACACATTTTGACAGCAACAACCTCTCCAAGGCTTAAGGAAGGAAATGGGTGAGTAAGGCGTGCGGCGGGCCATATTGGTTTTAATCATGCTTAAGACCCGTCCACGTGTATTTTCAAAAACGCTAACATCATAGCTACTCGTGCATGATCTTTAATGATGTGCTTACTAAAAAAGTTGTACCCTTTGTAAGCTTGTATTGTATTAGGCTGAGTGCTCTAGCAGCTGAATGGGTGACCACTCCACCAGGATCTAAGTTCCCTCCTCCTTACAAACGGCATTTTCTGCGTTTGTTTGTCTGGCGTCATTTCGCGGGGAAACAGGTTGGGCGTGGCGAAATGTCCGCTTTTTCCTTAGGCTAGTGGCTTTGTTATTAATACATCTTGTGTTTCATTTTCCTTGTAGGTATAAAATTTGGCATTACACGGGGAAGCTATTACATGAAAAGAGTGTGGGTGAACTCTGGGAGGTAGGTTTGTTAAAAAAGAGTTTTTTTCAGATACCATCTTTTACGCAGAAAATATTGTGAAATCTGTTAAACTAAGGTTACTAGATTACTATGAGGCCAATGAAGTGACTGGAGTTTTCTTGTTTATTAGGTTAAGTGGCAACCGGTTCAAGGCGATATATTCAAGGAACCAGTTATCAGTTACCAGGCCGCCCCGTCCATAACAAAACAGGAACAAGAGAAAGGTAAGTATGACTGGTGTTGGTGCTTTGTTAAGGAGAAGTTAACTGCAGTCATTGGAAATAAAATTCGAACTTCTAATCAATAGTCCAGTTACGAATTAAAAATTACCGCTGAATACAAACATTAACGACACATTCATACAGGGTTAGCCTCGACATAAAGTAAAATGTTCAGAAATTCCGGCAAGTAAGTGTTTGAAATTTGAATACAGTATACACAATAGACAGAGTAATAAACAGGTCTTTTTCTCTTAGAATTTTGTGAATATATTATTTCAGATGGAGGTTAAGCCTGTAGAAAATGCGTCTTCACTTCTTTAATTCAGCGGTCATAGCGAACTTGAAACTGGACTGAATCTAACAGTGGAATTCCACGTATTTTAGTCATCCTACTGATATTCAAAGAGAGACGGGAAATGGAGAGCAGGGAAAAAAAAAAGAAAGGAAGAGGGGTGCAGAAGAGAGGAGGAGCCCTTTCTCCCTACCCCCCCCCCCACCCCCCCCCCCCCCCCCCCCCCCCCCCCCCCCCCCCTCCCCCCCCCCCCCCTTCCCCCCCCCCCCTCCCCCCCCCCTCCCCCCCGCCCTCCCCTATACTTTTCTTCTCCTGCCTCTTTCTTTGTGTTTTTTTTTTTCTTTTCTCTTTTTTCCCTACCCCCCCCCCCCCCCCCCCCCCCACGCCACTTCTTGCTCGTTTTTCTTTGCGCCGTCCTAACTATCTGCACGCCTGCAACAGGCTTCCTACTGATGAACTGATACTATACGTTTCTAGGAGCGACTGTTTTTTGAGTGTCTCTCCTTCGAATTGTCTGGTCTCCAAATACCATACTGGATCACCAGAATCTCCTCTGATAAGTACCCATGTAACAGTAATGACCCTGTCTGCTGCAACTGAATTGAATCGCCAAAGTAGAAATCTGCCCGGTTGTGAATTTTTTAAAGAACGTCTTTTCACCTCTTATTGAATATGTTGTGAACCCCAAAAATCGTTTTACCCGACCTTGCTCTTGAGACTTCTCCAAAATAAATATCACAAGTTACATTTTTGCTGTTACCTGTACAGTTGGATAATGACTTGTGAGACTTCGTACCGTTCACATTTTTGGGTAAAACCGATGTTGTGTCTTTTCATTTGCAGCTAAAGCGGTTTACCGACCACCAAGTCTTAGAGGAACTGCCCCACCCGTTAAATTGGTGAGATATCTCTACTTTACTTTCGTTGTAATGCTTTACTGCTCTGGATCACTTGACATGGCCGAAATACAATCTCAGTACTTATTTCATATTGCTTTTTACCCTCGTAGGCGTGAAAGGTTTTAATCTACGCTTTTTATTTCAGCGCGAATATGAACCTGCTGAAAATATGAAACCCAAAGAGGGACAGGAAATGTCCAAATCTGCAGCTAAGAACAAGAAAAAGAGGGAGGCAAAAGCAAGAGCAAAACAGGAACAAGAAACTTCTGAAGAGGTTATACTCTTTACTTTTTACGTGCGACTTTCTGGAAATATCTGACGCTCAAGGAAAATAGTTCATTTTGTTCCCGAGAATTAAAGTTTACTACTTTGCCTAAGGACCCAGTTATTAAGTGATTTGTTTTAATACCCACAAAGAGGAACTTCTACGTGTGCAAAATTTTCTCAGCGAGAGGTTTTAAAACATTTGTGGGTAACACATTACTTTGTTGCCCTGTGACGTCATTTATTATTTTGCAATGTTGCCCGCTCAGAAGCTGTTGGCGGGAAGCAGTTTCATTGTTAGATGTCCTGTGACCTCGAAGTAACCAATGAGAGCGCGCTCTGTTTGGAAAAAATGTACGCCATAGGCTGGTTTGCTCGTGACGTCACGGCGGCCATGTTGGTGGTCAAGAACAAAATCATTTCTCCTCCTCTGGGAACTAAACTCTACTTTTATGTAAATTCTTCGAGAAAAAATTCGATTGTATTGACCCCCAACATGACCGCTTTGTCAAGTGGTTGCAAACCAAGAAGAGCAGTTTGCTTTATTTGCAAATTACGGGAAAACACTGTGGTTGGCGGTTTTGCGGTGTGTTTTCCTTTTCTGGTTCGTAAGGTAAGAGATTCAGCCGCGCGTAAGCTGAACCGAGGACGGCAAAATAAAATCCCACCAAAAATCCGCCACCTACCCAGGCTAAAACGGGGCGAGTTCCAGCCATGTCATTGTGGGCCTTCCTTACCGTACCTATCTCTGTACGTCCTTAAATGAATGTTAACTGCCCCTCCGTACTTACCTCACTGAGCACTATCATTATGTTTTTGTTTTTTGTTTTTAGGCTTCGAGTCCAACTCTACCCACACCTCCCCCCTCATCCGTAGTGACTAGCACAACTCTTCCACCGGAGAAAGAAAAGAAACTTAAAAATTTGAAGAAGGTATTCATTTTAAAAGTGTTGTTTTTTACATGTGGTCTACGGAAAATCAAAGAAAGTGCGCAATTCTCAAGTATAAACCAAGTATTTTTCCATAACGACGGGCTATCACTTATATTTCAAGTTGCAAGGTATACGTAGTTAATGCGCATGGAATTAAACGGCTAGGAAGTTCTTTGGGTTCTGTTTTTCTTTTGTTCAGTATGAGAATATCTACGGGTCATGCTTATAGTAGCCGGGGAAATCCCTGCCCCCCCCCCCCCCCCCCCCCCCCCCCCCCCCCCCCTCTTTTCTACCTTTCATATTATTCTCGCGGTATGGTACACTCTACTTACTCTCCGGGCTCTCGTCCCCACCGTGTAAAGGGGGGGGCGGGGGAGTCTGGGGGGGGGGGGCGCCGCTCCGCGGCCCGCGGACCCCCCCCCACCTGCGCGGCTCCTGTAGTGTGCAGCACTGGCATAAGAAAAAAAACGCGGGGACAAACAATTCACTTTTATTTGTAAGTGGATAGGTTTTTTGGTTTCATGCCTGTGGAATCAAAGGGGTGGAAGGTTTTTTGGGTTTTTTTTTTTTTTTTTTAGTATGGGAAAAATCTCCGGGGAGGTTTTTAAGTACCGGGGAAAACCCCCCCCCCCCCCCCCCCGGCCCTTAGTAACGACCCTGTTTTATACGGACATTAGATCACTTTGGCGGCGTACAATCAATTCTTTCGACGGCGGACATCCTTAAATCAGGGTGACAAGGGGCGCTCAGGTGAGTTTTGGGGCGCGAGCCTCCTCTAGAGTGCCCCAAAGAGCCCTCATTATTGCAGGCTCTCAGTTAGTCGGAACAAGTGAAAAGAAAACCGAGCGCGGGGAAAATGAAAGAAAGAGGAAGGGAGAAAGTCCTGGGCTGTCCACTTTCTCTTAGGTCTTTTCGCTCGTTCCCACTACTTGAGAGCCTAGAACAAGCGAGTGTCCGCCTTGTAGAAAGCCAAGAGAAAGGACTGAACATTGACAACGACAGGGCGTTATTCGTCTTTTAAGGGTGTTCTTGAGGGGATAGTTGACTGGACACAATTTACCTTTTTCCCCAAGCTCTTATCACTTTGTTGTTGTTTGTAAATGCGCGTTGTATTGAAGTATCAATATTTCTTTGGTTTGCTAGCGCTGACTGAAGTTTGATAATTTATGTAACATTTGCAATATATCCTTATCTTTCCCTTTAGAAATTGCGACAAATTGAAGACTTGAAGGAACAACAGAGATCAGGGAAGACACTGGAAAAAAATCAGGTCAGATTGCCACTTTGATCCTTATGTTGTAAATAGTTTTGGACCGTCCGCAGTTTATCTCACAGAGCTCATAACCCGCGAGCAGGCTTACCTGTGCGAGTTCGGGGTGAAGAATGGGGCGAGGAAAAGTGATCTCGCGCTCCAAAAATTTCCCTAACTAAGTGAGCCTGTTTGCCGGCTACGGAAATTTGTTGCTAAATGACCTTACGTTCTCATACTAGCTGTCTTTTCTTTCATTCGCCCACAACATAAAGAAGTTGTATCTCATCTGTTGCGTCAAATTCAGAAACGGACGTCAATTCTATGTAGCACGATGGTTTGGTAATATTAAACAATTAAATAGCGAAAACTGCCGCTGATATGTCCCCCTCCCCTCAGTTATAAGCCCATCTACCTGGAAACAAAAAATACATCCAAATAATACCCCCTGGATAAAAGCCGCCCTCTAGCTCCGATGTTTAACCCCCCCCCTCTCCACCCTCCTCTCGTAATTCGATTTATTATGACATTTTAAAACACAAAACGTATCTTGATCAGCACTGCCATAGCTTGTTTCTAAGCACTTTTTCTATCCCGGTTATACGCCCCCTGGGGAATAAGCCCCCTCGGGTATAAGCCCCTCCTCCCAAATCCACTTAGAAGATGTATAAACCCAGGGCTTATAAGCAATAGTAAGATCTGCGTGGTGTGATTTAATCCTTAAAAAAAAGACACTTTTGTTTCCTTTTTTCAGCTTGAAAAGATATCATCTGAGGCATCGCTCATAAAGGAAATACAAGATCTCGAACTTGGCAGCTGACACTTTATTTTTCTTACATGTATGCAAGATTGAACTATTAAAAACAACTAAAATCTGCTATTCTTATGATTAACTTTGCATGGAGAAAAAAAAAATGCGTAAATAATATAGACCAATAACTTTTATTTGTATTTTCGAGAGTGCGACCGGAGTATTCAACACCTTAAATCTATTAGTAATAAATTTTTATACAACGTGAGTCATTAGTGTCAACCTGCTGTAGTTTTTTCTTGGGCTTGTCTTAAAGGTTGCACCATTGTCACGGCGAACTCAATATCATTCGGCATTTAGTTTGCCACGTAAGAACACACCTTCTTAGAAGCAGGTTGTGCTAGTAGTTCCAGAGAAACAATCACGCAGTTGAGTATGTCCAACTTGAAGGATTAAAACTGCGTGCGACATCCATGCTTCAGTTCAAATCTTTGTGATCGGTAAGGTACATGAAGTAGTACAAGCGTTTCAAATTCGAAAGCTAAAGCTCCAAGAGAGTCTTTCGTGATGTGCCCAATACCTTGCCGGTTTGCATTGCGTGCCCAGTGCTTCGCTTGGGTACACATTCCCAAATCACTTCTACGCATTTGCAGCCACGGACAGCTGTTTCGGCCTTATTCTGGTTCGTTAACGGTTAGCCCAGAGTAAGAACACGCGGTCTGCCTTTATCACCATTCCTGCCCTCCCCACTTGCTCTTTCTAGGGAAGGATCCATCCTTGTTTTCCGTGGCGCCTAAGGGACGCAGGAGACATCCATATCGACTTCTGTGTTAAATGGAATAAATTCGTTCTTTGTCTCGATTAACGTCTGCTGTAGAATAATGAACAGCGATGGAAGCGAAAATAAAGTTAATCTTTTTAAAACAATGTTTATATTTGCTTTTTTCACCGCGAATTTGAAGATTCGTGGGTTAAAACCTAACTACCTAGCAATGTGGCAACTATTAATATATAATGATCCACCCAACGTTGGCATCATGGTACACTTCGTTCGTTATTTTATTGAGCAGCCCTGCCCTCGTTCCTTTGTCTTTCATTTCTTGTCGCATTACTGTCGTCAAACTCGGCCCCAGCGTGTTTCCCTTAGAAAAAGTGAAAAGCCCTGGGAACTAGCTGGTACTGTTGCCAACCTCTGCCCCAAGCCTCACGCAGCTGTCCATATTCTTAGTGAATTATCCACTTGTATCCCAGTATCTTGATCCATTGCGTTGACGTGATCCTCATCACTGTCCGAACCAGGCTCTGCAAACTGCCGCTGGCCAGAGGTTGTCGCCAGCAGGGGAAGACTGGGATGGAAACTGAAGAAAAAAATTCCACAAAAATCCTTAAAGTCTTTCCTTTCACAACAGTAACGGAAAACCTGAAACTTGCATTCAGTTTTGCTGACAAAAGAAGCAATTTGTTGCAAACTTACAGCTGGAAGTAGGCGCATCTAAACCTACTTCTCAACTTATGGTCCTGTCCAAAAAATGATAAAAAAGGAGACAGCGAAGCCTCTACGACAGCGTATTTTAATTAAGCTTATAGAAGTCCTTTGATTTCACAGTAGTAAATCGGCATTTTTTTGCTCATCCGTTAGGCTTGTAAGCAACAGTACTCACCTGACACCATTCACAAAGTCTCCATGGGCCACAAACTGCATGATAGGTTGAAGTGTTGCTTCTGTTGTTGTTTCACTGGTTAATGGTGGACTTGTTGAATCCCAGATAGAAACAGTACCGTTGGCGTTACCAGATATGATGTATTGTCCAGACCTGCGCCGAGGAGGTGGAAGGGAAGTGCATTATTTCTGAAAAGCGACTCAGTGTCCAGATTAAAGCTAGTAAAGCTGGATTTTAGTCTGTGGGTAAGCCATCAGGCGTGTTGACAGGCCAGAACATCGAAGCTTGCGTAGCAAGCGTTTCCGCGCGAGTTCGTCGCAAAGTTGGACAAGAGCGAAGCAGAGGGGGGGAGGGAGGGGAGAAAGAGAGTTTCCTCTTCTCCCCTCCCACTTCTTCCACTTTTTGGTGTAATAACTCCATCAGAAACGTTTGGTACGCAGGCTAAGAACACCGTGGTGTTCTGAATTTTGCTTATATTGACACACTAGAAAAACAGAATGTCAAAAGACAAAGAGACATTTAAATGGTGGAGGTCACTGGATAAGTGGAAAAAGTTAATTATAAGAGATCATGGAAAAGAAAGGGATTTTCCTTTTTTCTAATGACTGACAATGGTGAAGCGTGCATGTCTCAAAAAAAGTTTTCTTTTTTTCACTAAAAAGACGTGAATCGCATCACACCTTATTGAGACAAATACAATCAGAAATTGAAGGATAGTATAATTTGCTAGTACCAAGCGGCTAAGAAGAGGGAGCTACAACCGAAACGAATAACAAATGGTGATTTCACTTTGGCCAAAGTGAAATCAAAGCAAACTAATTTTTTAAGCGTCTAACTCAATAAGTATTCTATATTGCCTTAATCGGACAGTTACCTGTCTATATCGAAGTAGACTCTCTGATTGGTATCCACCGAACGATTCATGCAGTACAGAACTGTGCCAGGATTACGAACATCCCAGCATATGATTTCATCATCCTATCCGACACAATGAAGGCGCAAGTTAGTAAACATGTTACTGTATAACGTGAAACAATTTTTAGGGTACTAACCATTTTACGCGTACAGTGCAAAGGAATGTAGATTACATTCAATTGATTATTTGAGTTGGGCTGGCCCAATTTGCCGGTGCGTTTCCGAGATCTCAGCTAAACTAAACCAGAAGCTTCTGACGAAACTAAATAAAGTAAACTAAACCTTCGTTAGCCAGCACGGCAACTTGACAAACCGACCCGGCCCGGCAGACCGGGCCAGCCCGGATCATCCAGTATGTAAAGCACAAACAATATCTAACTGCACTCCGTAAGCCAAGTCTGCGGTAGGCATTACTAATCACGGATTGCACACTCGAAAGTGAAAGTAAGAAAACGTAAACATACAGAGCATAAATAAACCATTTTTGAATGAGGTCGAGTGTGATATGAAGAAGTGTGCAGATCGAGGACGCTGTAACGCCCTCCGCCGTGTAATACTTCTGCGTAATCAAGCTATGATTTCTAGTCATGTCCATAAACTTTTTCGCCAATTACTTACGTTTCGCATTGCCAAAAGAGCCAAGCTCCCACTTTACGTAGCATCAAAGAAAACGTTCTTTGAAAGCTTTTGGAAGGTAACATTCAGGTAAGGTAACATTTTAAAAGTTTATAACCCCAAAGTAAAACTACTGGTACAACAGCATAACATCTAAGAGCACAACAGGAAAGTGTTAAGCAGCGCTTTTAATTTTCACCTGGAACGAAAACTTTGTCCCCTTTTTAAACTTTGGATTAGAGGGCTAGCAGACCCTCGAGATTGCCGCACAAGCAAGCTTGTTACGCGCGAGATCACCCCGCGCTTTTACCTCACTCGCTCAAGTGTAGTTTGCTAACCCGTGGACAATCCTGCAACACTGGTCTCAGTCTAACTTTGGGTGCAATGTTATTTGAAGTTCTTTAACTCAATACCTTTCTGCCACCGCTGTACAGTTTCGTGCCATCAGGAGAGAACATGACATGCGTTACCCCACCCTGCTGTCCTTGGAGCAAAAATATCAGCTGGCCATCCGATTCTGAGTACACACCAACTAAAAAGGAAAAAATGTATTTATCAAAAAGTTTTAGATGTACAGTTGAGCTTTATATTTAGGATAGCTAAATTTTCGTACTCAGATCAGCGGCAATAGCCTAATAAGACTATTGTTTTTCGTACAACGCAGTTGAGTTTATGGGCATTTTGCCAGTTTAGGCGTTGATTTAAACTTGGAAACTTGCCGGCCACTCTACCAACAAAATTCTTGGAGGAGGAGGACTGCACCACCTAAAAAAAACTGACCAACAAATGGAATCTCCTACTAAGGCAGAGGTGGAAGTTTGTTCACTGGTGTAAACATTCCATGCGACAGAGTGGTAAGGGTGGGTGCTGATAAGAGAATGTTAACGCTAAAGCAGATCAAGTTTTAAGCTTCGTCTCCCAGTATAAAGTTTCTCTTCAGGTTAAACACACAAATGTTGTACTGTGGTTGAGTGCTTTTCTTGCGGCAACGTTTTTCTGGCGATTGATACCTGATTTAGAATAGGAGCCCAGAGCATACATTCCGGAGTTGTCAGGACTAAACGCAATGCTTGAGATGATTCCAGTTTGGCCTTCCTTTTTTACTGAAACAACAAAGAAAAGAAACGTGTGATAGTATGTTTCCTAGAAATTCCTGAAAATGTGTGGTGCTCGTGAAATTCCTCAAGTGAAAATGTGGTAGCTAAAATTGGTTTTCAGGTTAAAAAGAAATTCCGTTTTTCTCCTAAGAGTAATTACGGCTGAGAAGCAGGAAATTCTGAATCGAACTAGGCTGAACACTGGTTTAACCTGCGAATGGATTTTAACTGCAACATAAACTAACAGAACAGTTCTGGTTGACTCTTTCACAGGACAAATGCCCCATGACCTTATTTTACTACAGTTAGTAGTACACTTAACAAAATCCTTCAGTCTGTCATTTTCCTGTGCAGGTTAGGGTGGAGAAGGTTTCGTTCTCGCTCCTTTCTCATTTTTCCACTTTTTTTCCTCCGCTCACCAATTTGCACCACTCTCCACTATCTGAATGCCTGGAAAAGGCGAAAATAAACATACCAGTGGTTGGTCTCTCTTGGAAGTCTCGTCCTGGTCTAGCTGTGTCAAATATTCTAACCATCTTGTTGAAACCAGCATAGATGCAACTGCCATCAAGATTAAACGACAAACAGTTCGCAGCAACTAATTCATCCTGGAGGGATCAAAATTTTCAAAAATCGTGGGCTGGATTTACAAATTTATTAATAAAAATTCCGCTTAACAAAAAAAATTAGTGAAAAATCATAACTATAAAGCGATGGATTTTGCCAATTCAGACCGGGCTTTAACAAAAGACCTACAGGTTACAGCCAACTTTCGCCTCGTAGACACCCTACTAAAAAGGACAGTAGCTAAATCCCAGGCAAATATAACTTGCAGACATTTGAGTGAAATAAACTCTGGCTATAAGGGACTCTCGCTAATGAGGATACTAACTTGGGTCCTTACAGTGTCTTCTATATACATAATTTTAAATCACGGCAGATAACATCATTACAAAAAATTGATGGAGAATTTACCAAGTGATTGTAAGTTCTGTAAGTGCATCTTATTGAACCAGTGAAAGCATCCCACATGTGAATTGGATGGTCACGACTGCTGCTCAACAAACTACAGAAATACAAAGGAATGGAATGTTCACTAACACCTGTAGGTAAAAAGGTAAAGGCACAGGCGTTCACAAGCCAAAGCCCCAAACAGCTGAAGCTTTTCGCTGTTTATTTAGCATGAAGCATTGCTACTCCCCCCTGGACGGGATGCTAGTCTGTCACAGGGTTATCCCCAGCAGTATGTCACCAGCACCCATTTATACACCTGGGTGAAGAGAGACAAAGTGGAGTAAAGTTTCTTGTCTTAGGAAACAACGTCACAGGCAAGGCTTGAACCCTGGACCTGTAGGGCAGGAAAAGCGGGAGTATGAGGTGTTAACCCCCTGGCCACACACACCTCCACACTAGCACCTGTAATGATATCATTAATCATGTTTGAGAGAATATATAGAACATGTCTCCACTAATTTATGTATCATGTTTACGACTGTTTAGCCTTCTTGACGTTTAGGCAATTTGGGAGCTGAGCAAGCTAGATTTTGACCAACCTAAATATTATGATACAATGTGGTGTCATCTTGGTCATCTCCAAAAATATTACTACCTGATATTACTAGGTTGCAATGTGGGGTTTAGCTTATGATAGGGATGCTTGCAACTGAGGCTGTAACACTGCATGCGAGTGAATTAAGAACACATTGTATTGGGACAGGGTGAGGTAAATGATATAAATGCTCACCAACATGTGTCTGGGTCAAGTGATGACATAAACGGATACCAACAATAATCGTAGACAGTCTCGCCCTCAGGCATCTGCAATACAGATACCTGTTGCAAGAGATATAAAAATGTTTATGTTTACATTTATGTTCAAAATGTTTTAGGTTAAGTTTTATATATTGACTAAAAGACCTGGATATTACAGAAAAAACAGGAGAGTCAAATAATCATAAAGAAATGTAAATCTTCAATGTCTTTGACTAGCCCTCTCATTGTCCACTGGTCAAGTGACCAGTATTTCATTCTTATGACCTGTGCACTGTCAATATGAATCAGATAACTTTTAGGGATGTACTATCAGTTTGGAGAAATTTTAAGGAGTAGTACTTTATAGAGATTAAAAGAATTGTCAAAAGGGAATGATCGTTTTTGGAAGCTGGTAAAGATTATAAGTCCTAGGTCAGTTTGTTGTGATAACCTTGAAGCAGATATCATGAACAGCCAACAGAGTAATTTGGTGTAATGCCATTCTGTTCCATTTTGCAGAGGTAGAAAGCTTCATAAAGCAATGTACACGACAATAAACTTAATACATTTACACTTATTGCATACAGCCTACCCCTCACATTTGAGGATTATTGATAATACAGTACATAAGCATGCCGTGGTGACATAAGCTACCTTTGGTGTGAATCAAACTATATACATACCATTTCTGATAGTCCATGCACAGCTGTCCCATTATACAACTCTACAGGCAGGTTAAATATTCTCAACACATTGTCATCACTGTTTGTCAGTACACATGAACCATCAGGTGACCTAAATTGTGTAAACAAACAAAAGGGAAAGACTGGGTAAGGAGACTGTAAAATTGTAGAATGTGAAGATGGATGAAATGGGGACGCTTTGCAAAGAGTAGGCAGTATGTATGTTATAGGTCAGAATTCAATTCAGGTTAGAATTTTCCAATGTTGTCTGATTCTTAATTTCCTTTGTCTTGTAACTCTAATTCATGAATAGTTAGGGCAGGGAGACAGTAAATTGAACAGAACTGAAATTGAGAATCAACCTAAAAATCACAAAATGTTACTGTAACCTGAATTAAATTTGATCAATAACATGTATATGTTACTGGTCAAATTTGATTTTGGGTTAAAATTTTTTAGCCCAGGTTAATTCTCAGTGTCCTTTGTCTTCTAACCCTAGAAGACAAAAGACACTGAGAATTACAAGAGCAAAAAAAGCAATAAGCCTAACCGTTTGCAGGTGTCATTACCAAGGCAGCACTTTCCTCTCAGTTATTTAAAGACCCAGAGTGTTGGTCCGGCTAGAGATTAAACCTACGACCTCCCGCTCAGAAGACTGGTACTCTCCCAAATGAGCTAACCAGGTAGCCTTTAACCCATTTTCCCTCCCACCACCCTCCCCACCCTTCTCTGTGCCCCCCTCTTTTTTCCCACCCATAATATATGAGTTTATTACCTACCATTTGCAGCCCTTTAGAAAGTTTGACGCTGATGATTCAAAATCTTGCCAAGCTCCTGTCACTTGCTCGGGTGAGGCAGTAAAGTTGTATCTAACTGTGGAAACCCTGTAATACGAAAAAAAAAAATCAGTACCAAGAAATCTTCATGAGTAGTAGTTAGTTAGTTAGTTTGTTATTTTGGCTCTGTCTATTCACAGAGAGATGTAGCCTTTTGTCTGTTTATTTCAATCTGTACGGTCTTTCGCCAATCTATTCTCAGTCAATCATGCATCCTTTTCGACAATGTCATGATGCCAGCATCTCAAACCTTTTACCCTCCAAAAGAAACCATTCAGTAACCCTCAGAGGTTGTTTGTTATCTGTAGTGCAGTGACATGCCCAGCCCACTTCCCTTTAATTGATGCAATTTGTCTGACAATGTTCTTTACTTTCGTAGTGCATTATTTGTGCTGTGTTTGTAGTATCTCCCGTTCATTGCCCTTTGTACAGATTTCAGCTTGTTCCTCCACACACACTGCTCAAACTCCAGTTCTCACAGCCTTAGGTTAGTGTTAAACAAACTTTGGACACAATCTTAAAATTATGTTAAGTGTGAACAGGCCCTCTTGTGGAGTATATAATAATGGAAAAATCTAGAAAGCATGAGCAGACAAGGGACTACTCAAAGAGCCTGTTTACATGCTAAAACTTAATGTCATGCCACTAATAAATAATACAAAATAAACCATACAATTGGTTGCTGTATTCCTCTGTTTCCATTGGTGTATCTTTTTCAAGTTTATCTTCATTTGTTCTTTTCTCACAGTTATCAACAGTGATTGAGTCAATAACTTCTTTGTTTTCACTACATGAAGTATCCTGCTCAACCACATCAGTTAGTTGCTGATTATTCACTTCACTATCTTTTTCTTGTTGCAGTTGAGTCCTTAACTGATTGGGTTTTCCTAAGTCAATTGTTTTCGCATTTTCCTCAAGAAGATCGCGGTTTACAATTTCAGGGCATCCTTGAACTTGTATTCGCTTATCTTCAACAAGTTTGTCATCACTTGATCTTTCCTCGTGATCTGGGTCTCTTGAATCACACATTTCTTCATTTCGAACAACTTCCTGCCCAATAATATTAAGAATTGCCTGATCGTTTTTCAAACTCTCCTCAAGCTGAATTCCCTTGTGTTCAAAACTTAAAGGTTCTTTCTGAGTACACGCTATCGCAGTTTGGGAAGTGGATGGTTCTGTAGCAACATCTGTGGCCATGCCAAAACTTGGCGGGTAATTTGATTTACCTTGAACGTTTCCTACATTATCCTGTTCAGATGAACCTGTATTAATTTCATCAGACATCGTTAATGCAATCACCACAGAACTATCTTGCCCGCTTCTAAGAGACACTAAAACAAATCATCCCTTTGGAAAGAGATGTCCGCCATGTTTACCGTGGGAAGCTGGAACTGAACGGATGTTGAAGAATTTTTGTGATGGAATTACATGAAGCATTTGTTTTATCATCCAAGATGGAGTCGCTCCCCAAAGAAGTTCTGTTTATGATATTTGAAAAGCTGCACCCTTTTGAGCTAGTTCCCTTGTCAAGAGTAAACAGACGATGGTATGAAATCGCGCTTCATCCTAGGCTTCACAGGTTTTTAAAAAATTATTGCGTTTTTATGAAGGATGTTATTTTAGTCAACTAAACGTCAGATTACCCGGCCACTTTATATACATCTTTAAAAGCTGCGGGACCACAGGAGCAGTTGCTTAATATCTCTTCAAGGTTGCTGGGTATTCTGAAGTTGCTCCAATGTTTTATAGGGTCATAGTCATTTTTTGTATATTTATATAATTCATATTATTGCTACTGTACATTGTGTATTATTATTATTATTATTATTATTGTTATTATTGTTCTTCTTCTTCTTCTTCTTCTTCTTATTATTATTATTATCATTATCATTATTATTATTTTATTATTATTATTAAACACAGCTTCTGGATGGCTTGCGTGAGTCTTCCTTAAACATCAAGTCACTGCCTGTGACCTTGGGTGTCTAAGACTTTGCTAAGGATTCTGTCTGCACCCAGTAAGCTTGCTCTCTGCAATGATTCCAAATGACATGTGACACCAATCTCCGCTAACCACTTTTCTATATATTTTGAGACAGTTCCTAATGCACTAATTATGATTGGCACCACAGTTACTCTGCACAATTTCCAGATCCATTTCAACTCCCTCTTCAGGTCTTACTAGTTCTTAATTTTCTCTTTCTCTTTGTCTTTCACTTGGATGTCAAATGGACAAGCAAGATCAATATTTTAACCTAAGACAAAGGGGCTCCAGATTCAAAGTGATGGGCAATGATTGAGGAGGAGGAGGTGGGGGGTGGGGGGGGGGTTGGTCTGGAGAAGGAGAACTATTGATACTTTTTTGAGGTTAGAAATTAGAAAATATAAATGAAGGGATTTTTTGGAAGGGGGAGGGGGAGGAGTATCTTAGCCAAGTATAATACTGAACGGCAAAATTCCAACTATAATACTATTTTGTTAGGCTTTGTATTCTAATGTTATTAAATTGTTAATAATGAATGGTCTTATTTACTTTCTCAGATGCATTGATTTTCATCATAAACATGATTTATCATCTCTGGTGATCTGCAGTTATATCAGCAAGTTCAAACATTCTCTTGAGGAGCTGAATTTGCAGGAGTGTTACTGGTTGAAAGGTGCTCTTCTTTCTAATGCCTTACAGAAGTGCAGAAAATTGACTTCTCTCAATGTCATGGGTTGTGACATTACAAAGAAGACCATCTGTTCTGTTTTGAAACTGAACAATCTCAAAAGACTGGAATGGTCTGTCAGTTGCTTTGATCTTAACTTTAATGATATCGTTGGCTCAAACAGGAATGACCTTTTAAAAAAAGTGTTAATATCATTCTGCAGTGAACTTGCAGGTGCTTTCTCAGGATTGGATAGCCTTACAGTTCGGTTTCCATTGTTTCATGGAACATCCAAGTTTTCCTTTCGTTGGATCATTAAGTTTGGAGTGCCATTGATTTGCAGTGAGCTTGGCTTAAAAAAGTTTACCCTTGAGTGGGTGGATGAAGTAGGAAAATATATTCACTTTTTTAAAATCTCCATTGAAGGAAGCAGATTCCAGTTCCAAAAGAATGACGTAGCTAAATTAAGTGATCCAGGTATTCTGGATGGCTTTAATGGTCCTCCTTTGCTTGATTTGCACAAGATGACCTGGAATACAATAAAGACCTTGCTAGGAAATGAAGCTTTGTCTACATTTCTTTTACCTTATGATCATTCTGACCAGAAATATACTTCTTTTGAAAGACTTGAGACAAAACCCTGTTTAGTCAACTTGGATGTGCCCTTGCAATTTCTGGATGCTGCAANGAATGACCTTTTAAAAAAAGTGTTAATATCATTCTGCAGTGAACTTGCAGGTGCTTTCTCAGGATTGGATAGCCTTACAGTTCGGTTTCCATTGTTTCATGGAACATCCAAGTTTTCCTTTCGTTGGATCATTAAGTTTGGAGTGCCATTGATTTGCAGTGAGCTTGGCTTAAAAAAGTTTACCCTTGAGTGGGTGGATGAAGTAGGAAAATATATTCACTTTTTTAAAATCTCCATTGAAGGAAGCAGATTCCAGTTCCAAAAGAATGACGTAGCTAAATTAAGTGATCCAGGTATTCTGGATGGCTTTAATGGTCCTCCTTTGCTTGATTTGCACAAGATGACCTGGAATACAATAAAGACCTTGCTAGGAAATGAAGCTTTGTCTACATTTCTTTTACCTTATGATCATTCTGACCAGAAATATACTTCTTTTGAAAGACTTGAGACAAAACCCTGTTTAGTCAACTTGGATGTGCCCTTGCAATTTCTGGATGCTACGAGTTTGAAATCACCAGCTTTCAGTGAGCATGCTCTACGATATCTAAACCTTGCAAGAATAAGGAGCATTGATGGCCATTTACTGCAAGTAATAGCGTCTTCATCACCAAACTTAGAAATTCTTAATTTACAGGATTGTACTGGCTGTCTTGAACCAGTAAGTATCATACTCTTGAAATATGAACCTACATTCTTTCATGTAAATACATGTATATGTGATTGTTTATCATCCTTGGTGACCTTGAGATATGAAGCCCTTTAGAAGATGAAGTCATTTTGACCAGCCCTAAAAAAGTTTTTGATTAGCAGGATTAATAAGTAATTGATTACACTTTTAGTTAATTAATTTCTTCTTTTTTCCCACAAGCAATTTATTTTGCCTTAACGGTAATTGTAATTATTGAAGGCAAATTTGTTTGTGGGCAAAAACCCTAATTCTTTAGGCAAACTCTCTTTTATTCCTTAGCGTAGCCAAAGTCAAAATTCATTGAAATTCCCAAATTTCATTTTGTAAAAATTCTCAAAAATAAATTACCGGTATACCATTTGAATGGACAGCTCTTTAAAAAGGGTGCTTTTTGTGTAATTAATGTGAAATGGTTGTTTTTGTTGTTCTTTCAAGCTTCATGGATTAGAGTCATTAGCAGAATTTTGTCCAAAGTTGGCCCAGTTAAACCTAAATGGAGTACATGACCACACGTTTTTAGAAAAACCAAGCAGTGTTATGGAGATCATCTCAAAGTTCAATAATCTTATGTCCCTCAGCCTCTGTGCCTGTGGGCTTGGAACACCCAGTAAAAACAAAAGCACCAATAACAGTTCTAAATGGATGGGTCATTGTGGGACAAGTAGTGGTTCAAGTTCACATGATAGCAGTTTTCAAGGTGCAACTGCAGTATGTGATGACAGAACTCAATGGAACAAGTTAAATGCTGAAGAGTCATTTTATTGCCTGACAAAATCATGCAGTGGAATAACAGAATTTGAGCTCGTAAAAGACATCCCAAGAAGCTTTTCTTCATCAGAAACCAGCTCTACAGGAGATCCTGCTTTTGTAAAGACTTACAAAAAAGAGTATTATCGGTAAGTGCCTGCCCTCTTTCCTCAGGCATACTTTCGGGCAGTCTTTTAATAGGCTTGGGCTAAATGGAGTACTTTACATGTTGGGCCAAACTTAGGATATGCTCACACCATACCAGATAGTTCAAATACTGTTGTGGTGAGAAGTTTGATTGCTGCTGATCTTTCATTTGAATTTCTTTCCTGTATCGAGTGCCAGTTACTATATGTCAGCATCTCGTACAGTATATTGGGGTTGGTGAATGGTCAAATCTGGGACTTGCCGACTCATTGATTCCCTTGTTTTAAAGCTCAAGAAATTGCGGCCAAACATTTAAAGGGGTTCTGTCATGCTATTTGCTATATTTTTTACAAGCTAAAATGTGTCTTTGGTATTGAATTCATATTCAAATTTGAATTGAATTGGCATTAAATTCCAACCTTTCAATTTTGTTATATATATTTATATTATATATAGCAAAATACTGCATATACTATTTAGACATTGAAACATTACTGTTTCCTGTTGTCTGTTGCTATACAACATAAGCTGCTTCTTTAAGAGAAACCTAACTAGCTCAAGACATTTATGACTCTGAGACAGAAAGAAGCATGAAAAAGTGGAACTTCCGACTCATTACAGCCATGTACTTCTGAGATTCTGAGATCAGCTCAAATTTTCCGAGGCCTGTGGACAGGTTCCTAGGTCAGGTAAAATAAGGTAAGATGGGTAAGGTGAAACTTTATTGGGGCACAATATCTCCCTTTGATAATTAAAAAGTACATACTACATCATAGGTTACATTTTCATCCCTAAGGCACCCATTTATGTTTTTCATTCTCACTCAGGCCTAACACAAATGGGTATCAAGCAAGGTGTTATTTAATGAGACACTCATACAGCACTTTGATGGCAATCACAAATTGGAGGAATTTAAAGAGGCTTACAATTTCAGGTTTGTATAAAAAATGCATAAGTAAAAATGTTCTAGCCTACATCTGCTTCAATAAAGCATTCACTACAGATATCTTTACATTTTTTTTTCTACTTTTCTCATTCCTTTACTTTTCCTTCTCCTCCTTTCCATTAAGTTTTTCTGTTTTCTTTTCACTGTAATATTTTTATGGTATATTTTCCTCTTCTCCTTGCCTTCTTCCCTATTTACTATTTCTATATCCTTTCTGTTCACTGATTTCTTCCTCCTTTTCATTCTATCCACGTCATCTTTATTTCACTCTGCCAACTCTCTTCTCAAATTCATTCCCTCACATTCTTCCCTTTGCTTCCTTGTACTCCAATGTCTGCCCTCCTATTCCTCCTCCAGTTCCCTTTTTTCCCAATCTCTTCTTCCCATTCTCTCCTTCCGTTGTTAACATAATTTTACATTCATTTTTTACTCCTTTCCCTCTCTTTTCTTCTCTTTCTTCACCACCCATTTCCCCTGAAGGTCTCATATTTTATTCTCTTTGCAGATTTGACCTTTCTTACATCACACCCACTATCCTTTCACTATTCCATACATAGAGCTCTTTGTCTTTTGTCTTCTGCTTCATTCCCTCTTCTAACTCCTTACTTCTCTTCTTTTGTGTTTTGAGCTAGACTGGGGCAAGTATATATATATTTTTTTTTTTTTTGCAAAATCCAGAAAGTTCATTAGTACAATGACTCTGAAGTTTTAAAGTGGTGTACTTTGTATACAACCTTTGTGTTTCCTCTATAGTGCCTATAGCACAAGGTAACTTTGAGTTTCTTGTTGCTGTGACACAAAACTGTCCCAAGTTGGAGTTCCTATCTCTGGCATCATTGGCTCGTCTTAGTCACTCTGGCAATGTGGTCCTTCTTCAAAAGGCTCTTTCACACTGTCATCAACTCAGAGATTTCAGGTAAGGCTAAACCATTAATGAAGGAAAGCAATGTGTTAGAAATTCACAGCAACTGGAGGCAAAAATTTCAGGAAAATACTGATTAGAATTAGATGAATGAAAAGTTTATGCAGGGTTTTCACATGACACTTTTACCTGTAAACTCAAGTTCGCATGCCTTTGGATTAAAAAATTTGATCTCATGGCAGTTCACACCTGCAGATCAGTTTTGAGTTTTACCTTGCCTAGTCCCTGCACAATGTCTTCCCAGGCCTTCTCAGTCAATGCATTTTGGTGACGTATCTGAGACAAATGGCTGGGAGATGCCCACAAAACTTGCTCAGACCTCTAGACCTGAAACGCAGCAGCCACGTGCAATAATGAGGCCTAGGGGCGAAGCCAAGTTTTACCTATTACTGTACAGCCAACTGACCCATATCTGAGAATATTATGATATGATAATGCAAAATGATCCATGGAGAACCAATGCAAGGAAAGAAAAAATTTATTCAAGTGATTTTACTTTCCTCAAAATAAATTATTTTGATAGTCCTTATGGGACGTTAACTCATTTCATGAGAACTTTGGAAATCTTTGGAACATCTTCGGAGGACCTAAGATATGACGTAGGGTTTCTCTATAAAGGATCTCCACTGCCACCTCCCCCTCTGCACTCTTCCCCCAGGCCTCTTGAATTGTTTTCTGGCTATCCCTTGCCAGAGCTAGATAGCCTATGTACAGACATCCTCATCCCCTCAGAAAAAAGGGGAGAAGGGGCATCTGTACACAGGCTATTGCCAGGGACCTGGGGTACCTAATATCTTAATATTTACACAAATTATCAGCGCGGAAAACTTGTGCATAAACTTAAAACTAATAAATTTGACATGGTGGGAGAACAACCTTCTACAAAGTACCTCCAAATTGGCTGAATACCCTAAAAAGAGTGTAAAAATTGCATTGCCACAAATCACAGTGCATAATAATTATTTCCTGAAGCTTCCCAAATGGATTGGCACGAATTAATGGATTTTCTAATCAGAATTTCCAGTTTCCTATGTAAATAGTAATTTATTACACCTTTTTCAGAGGAAATACCATCGGGGATTCAGATGTCATGGTGATGTTCATGACATGACTTTGGTTGTTTGTTTTTCAGACTCGAACAGTCAAACTTCTGCATAACTGAATCATTTATCCTGACCCTTAGTGAGCTGAAACACCTTGAAAGGGTTTGCATCATTGCCAGGGAAGGAGCTATGAAAATGTACACCCAATCAGTCATTTCTTTGTTTGAGAAGGTATAACAAATTATTGTTCTTCCAGCAGTTGAAATTAATCCATGTTTAAAGGTCAAGAGCAATATTTTTTTGAGGGTGTTGTCATTGTGTATTATTGTGCAAATTCAATTGTCTGATTTGGTGCAATGATGCCCAATGTTTTAGAGGTCTGTCAGTCTCTAGTGTGTGATTTTCCAAGAGACTTTAAAAGAATTGACCACCGTTGTTTACACTTTAATATTCATCTCAGTTCCCCAGGTATATTACGAACCAATATGACCAGCTACCAGTTGGCTTACTTAATTATTATTAGTTAGAGAGCTGCACCGGTATCACAGATGATCTTCTTTGCTTTTATACCTTCATTCCGCAGTTCCAATATATGAATTTCATTTATTCATTGTTTTGTGCCATTAAGTGTTCTAGACTCTCTATATGAAAAATTATGATCAACCTTCCATGGGGTTTAGTTGGAAGCTTAGTTAAGTCATGGTTACCAAGGAGATTAGAGAAGGGGGCTCTTGGGGATTCTCAGCAAAGCTGATTTTATGATTCAACGTCAGCTCAGTTTGCCCCTGTTAGTGTGAAAGAATGATTTCTCCCTGTTGTTTTAGAACAAGCACTTTTATGGATAAAAATCCCTCAAATTGTTACACCCGTTAAAAAGTTTGAAAGCGCATCCTTCTTTAATTGCTGAGTGTTATGCTTAGGTCCTAAATAAAATTCGGAACCTCAATGAATATCCGATGCTCATTGTTACCTTTTGAAATCTTTCTCGATCTTACAGTGTTGTAAGCTGATTTATTTTCAAGTGCTCTGTGACATTACACTCAAAGCTAGTAAAGCATTGATGGATTGCTTGGCACGGAGGTAAATACACTAATACTCATTTCTTTCTGATGTAGCATTAGGGAGTAAATGAAGCTTTGTCTACATTTCTTTTACCTTATGATCATTCTGACCAGAAATATACTTCTTTTGAAAGACTTGAGACAAAACCCTGTTTAGTCAACTTGGATGTGCCCTTGCAATTTCTGGATGCTGCAAGTTTGAAATCACCTGCTTTCAGTGAGCATGCTCTGCGATATCTAAACCTTGCAAGAATAAGGAGCATTGATGGCCATTTACTGCAAGTAATAGCATCTTCATCACCAAACTTAGAAATTCTTAATTTACAGGATTGTACTGGCTGTCTTGAACCGGTAAGTATCATAGTCTTGAAATATGAACCTACATTCTTTCATGTAAATAAATGTTTGTATGATTGTGTTTGTCATCTTTGTGTGAGTTTTTGATATTAAGCCCTTTAGAAGATGAAGTCATTTTGACTAGCCCTTTTTTTTAAGGGGCTGGATTTATAAGTAATTAATTAATTACACTTTTAGTTATTAATTTGTTCTTTTTGCCCACAAGCAATTTTTTGGCTTAGTAATGTATTATTGAAGGCAAATTTGTTTGTGGGCAAAAACCCTAATTCTTCAGGCAAACTCTCTTTTATTCCTTAAAGTGTCCAAAGTCAAAATTCAACACAAATTCCCAAATTTCATTTTGTAAAAATGCTGAAAAATAAATTATACCATTTGAATGGACATATCTCTTTTAAAAGGGTGTTTTTTGTGTAATTAATGTGAAATGGCTGTTTTTGTTGTTCTTTCAAGCTTCATGGATTAGAGTCATTAGCAGAATTTTGCCCAAAGTTGGCCCAATTAAACCTAAATGGAGTACATGACCACACGTTTTTAGAAAAACCAAGCAGTGTTATGGAGATCATCGCAAAGTTCAATAATCTAATGTCCCTCAGCCTCTGTGCCTGTGGGCTTGGAACACCCAGTAAAAACAAAAGCTCCAACAACAGTTCTAAATGGATGGGTCATTGTGGGACAAGTAGCAGTTCAAGTTCACATGATAGCAGTTTTCAAGGTGCAACTGCAGTATGTGATGATAGAACTCAATGGAACAAGTTAAATGCTGGAGAGTCATTTTATTGCCTGACAAAATCATGCAGTGGAATAACAGAATTTGAGCTCATAAAAGACATCCCAAGAAGCTCAACATCATCAGAAACCAGCCCTGCAGGAGATCCTGTTTTTGTGAAGACTTACAAAAAAGAGTATTATAGGTAAGTGCCTGCCCTCTTTCCACGGGGATACTTTCAGGCAGCCTTTTAATAAGCCTGGGCTAAATGGGGTACTTCACATGTCAGGCCAAACTTAGGATTTGTTCATACTATACCAGATAGTTCAAATACTGTTGCGGTGAGAAGTTTGATTGCTGCTGATGCTGATCTGATATTTTGATTTGAATTTCTTTCCCGTATCGAGTGCCAGTTACTGTATGTCAGTATCTCGTACGGTATGTATATTGGGGGTGGTGAATGGTCAAATCTGGGACTTGCCGACTCTTTGATTCCCTTCTTTTAAAACTCAAGACATTGCAGCCGAACAATTAAAGGGGCTCTGTCATGCTATTTGCTATCTTTTTTATAAGCAAAATGTGCCTCTCGTATTGCATGAATTCACATTCAAATTTGCATTGAATTTGCATTAAATTGCAACATTTCAATTTTGTTATGTGTATTTATATTATACATAACAGGACAGGACAGGTGGACAGGTTCCTAGGTCAGGTAAAATAAGGTCAGATGGGTAAGGGAAAACTTACTTGGGCCACAATATCTCCTTTTGGTAATTAAAAAGTACATATTACATCATAGCTTACATTTTCAGCCCCAAGACACCCTTTCATGTTTTTCATTCTCACTCAGGCCTAACACAAATGGATATCAAGCAAGGTGTTATTTAATGAGACACTCATACAGCACTTTGATGGCAATTGCAAATTGGAGGAATTTAAAGAGGCTTACAATTTCAGGTTTGTATAAAAAATGCATAATTAAAAATGTTCTAGCCTCCATCTGCTTCAATAAAGCATTCACTACAGATTTCTTTACATTTTTTTTTTTTACTTTTCTCATTCCTTTACTTTTCCTTCTCCTCCTTTCCATTAAGTTTTTCTGTTTTCTTTTCACTCTAATATTTTTATGGTATGTTTTCCTCTTCTCCTTGCCTTCTTCCCTATTTACTATTTCTATATCCTTTCTGTTCACTGATTTCTTCCTCCTTTTCATTTTATCCACGTCATCTTTTTTTCACTCTGCCAACTCTCTTCTCAAATTCATTCCCTCACATTCTTCCCTTTGCTTCCTTGTACTCCAATGTCTGCCCTCCTATTCCTCCTCCAGTTCCCTTTTTTCCCAATCTCTTCTTCCCATTCTCTCCTTCCGTTGTTAACATAATTTTACATTCATTTTTTACTCCTTTCCCTCTCTTTTCTTCTCTTTCTTCACCACCCATTTTTCCTGAAGGTCTCATATTTTATTCTCTTTGCATATTTGACCTTTCTTACATCACACCCACTATCCTTTCACTATTCCATACATAGAGCTCTTTGTCTTTTGTCTTCTGCTTCATTCCCTCTTCTAACCGCTTACTTCTCTTCTTTTGTGTTTTGAGCTAAACTGGGGCAAGTATGTATTTATTTATTTATTTTTGCAAAATGCAGAAAGTTCATTAGTACAATGACTCTGAAGTTTTAAAGTGGTGTACTTTGTATACAACATTTGTGTTTCCTCCATAGTGCCTATAGCACAAGGTAACTTTGAGTTTCTTGTTGCTGTGACACAAAACTGTCCCAAGTTGGAGTTCCTATCTCTGGCATCATTGGCTCGTCTTAGTCACTCTGGCAATGTGGTCCTTCTTCAAAAGGCTCTTTCACACTGTCATCAACTCAGAGATTTCAGGTAAGGCTAAACCATTAATGAAGGAAAGCAATGTGTTAGAAATTCACAGCAACTGGAGGCAAAAATTTCAGGAAAATACTGATTAGAATTAGATGAATGAAAAGTTTATGCAGGGTTTTCACGTGACACTTTTAGCTGTAAACTCAAGTTCTCATGCCTGTGGATTGAAAAATTTGATCTCATGGCAGTTCACACCTGCAGACCAGTTTTGGGTTTTACCTTGCCTAGTCCCTGCACAATGTCTTCCCAGGCCTTCTCAGTCAATGCATTTTGGTGATGTATCCAAGACAAATGGCTGGGAGATGCCTGCAAAACTTGCTCAGACCAGTTGGCCACGTGCAATAATGAGACCTAGGGACGAAGCAAAGTTTTACCTATTACTGTACAGCCAACTGACCCATATCTGAGAATATTATAATATAATAATGCAAAATGATCCATGGTGAACCAATGCAAGGAAGGAAAAAGTTTATTTAAGTGATTTTACTTTCCTCAAAATAAATTATTTAGGTTGTCCTTATGGGACATGAGAACTTTGGACTTTCATGAGAACTTTGGAAATCTTTGGAACATCTTTAGAGGACTTAAGATATGATGTAGGGTTTCTCTATAAAGGATCTCCCCTGCCACTTCCCCCTCCCTACTCTTCCCCCAGGCCTCTTGAATTGTTTTCTGGCTATCCCTTGCCAGAGCTAGATAGCCTATGTATAGACATCCCCATCCCCTCAGAAAAAAGGGGAGAAGGGGCATCTGCACACAGGCTATTGCCAGAGACCTGGGGTGCCTAATATCTTAATATTTACACAAATTACCGGTTGGAAAACTTGTGCATAAACTTAAAACTAATAAATTTGACATGTTGGGAGAACAACCTGCTACAAAGTACCTCCAACTAGGCTGAATACCCTAAAAGAGTGTACAAATAAATATAGTGCATAATAAATACAGTGCATAATAATTATTTCCTGAAGCTTCCCAAATGGATTGGCACGAATTAATGGATTTTCCAATCAGAATTTACTGCTTTCCAATGTAAATATTATTATTATTTATTAGTTATTACACCTTTTTCAGAGGGAAATACCTTCAGGGATTCATTTGTGATTTTCATGACATAACTTTGGTTGTTTGTTTTTCAGACTCGAACAGCCAAACTTCAGCATAACTGAATCATTTATCCTGACCCTCAGTGAGCTGAAATACCTTGAACGGGTTTGCATCATTGCCAGGGAAGGAGCTATAAAAATGTACACACAATCAGTCATTTCTTTGTTTGAGAAGGTATAACAAATTATTGTTCTTCCAGCTGTTGAAANGGTGATGTTCATGACATGACTTTGGTTGTTTGTTTTTCAGACTCGAACAGTCAAACTTCTGCATAACTGAATCATTTATCCTGACCCTTAGTGAGCTGAAACACCTTGAAAGGGTTTGCATCATTGCCAGGGAAGGAGCTATGAAAATGTACACCCAATCAGTCATTTCTTTGTTTGAGAAGGTATAACAAATTATTGTTCTTCCAGCAGTTGAAATTAATCCATGTTTAAAGGTCAAGAGCAATATTTTTTTGAGGGTGTTGTCATTGTGTATTATTGTGCAAATTCAATTGTCTGATTTGGTGCAATGATGCCCAATGTTTTAGAGGTCTGTCAGTCTCTAGTGTGTGATTTTCCAAGAGACTTTAAAAGAATTGACCACCGTTGTTTACACTTTAATATTCATCTCAGTTCCCCAGGTATATTACGAACCAATATGACCAGCTACCAGTTGGCTTACTTAATTATTATTAGTTAGAGAGCTGCACCGGTATCACAGATGATCTTCTTTGCTTTTATACCTTCATTCCGCAGTTCCAATATATGAATTTCATTTATTCATTGTTTTGTGCCATTAAGTGTTCTAGACTCTCTATATGAAAAATTATGATCAACCTTCCATGGGGTTTAGTTGGAAGCTTAGTTAAGTCATGGTTACCAAGGAGATTAGAGAAGGGGGCTCTTGGGGATTCTCAGCAAAGCTGATTTTATGATTCAACGTCAGCTCAGTTTGCCCCTGTTAGTGTGAAAGAATGATTTCTCCCTGTTGTTTTAGAACAAGCACTTTTATGGATAAAAATCCCTCAAATTGTTACACCCGTTAAAAAGTTTGAAAGCGCATCCTTCTTTAATTGCTGAGTGTTATGCTTAGGTCCTAAATAAAATTCGGAACCTCAATGAATATCCGATGCTCATTGTTACCTTTTGAAATCTTTCTCGATCTTACAGTGTTGTAAGCTGATTTATTTTCAAGTGCTCTGTGACATTACACTCAAAGCTAGTAAAGCATTGATGGATTGCTTGGCACGGAGGTAAATACACTAATACTCATTTCTTTCTGATGTAGCATTAGGGAGCTTAAGCGTCCACAACGATTACAACAACGAGAACGTCGTCAAAAAACAATTGTTTTTTTATGAGCAAAACAAAAGCTCCGCACGTGCATCACGCTTTTAATATATTTGTTTGATGTTTACTGTACGACTAAGTGTTCCATTCAGTGCTCCATTCATTCGTGTTGTCAGTGGATGTCACAGAAATGTACTAAAAAGCGTGACGCACGTGCAGAGAAGTTGTTTTGATCATTAAACCTATTTTTTGTTGAAGTGGTCGTCGTAGTTGCTTAAGCTCCCTATTAAGGAGCTTAAAGGAGCTGTGTCACGAATTTCAGCCAAATTAGGTAATTACAAAATGCCCGTTAAATTAAGAGAAACTTAAAAATAACCGCCTAAAACATTAAAGGAAGGCTAGAATATCACAACAGCTACAACAGATGCCACGGATGGGCAAACTGAAGAAGATTGAAACGGACTGAAATGAGGGTTTTCGAAAACTAGCTAAAACTGTTCAGCCTAACAGTTTTTCAAAGTTGATCTCCGCTGTTTGCAACTTCAAAAATAATGCGTAGGAGACATATTTGTTTGTCTCGAATCTCTGCTTCTGTCATTTACAAGTAATTTCTTTGCTTACTTTAAGTTCCATAGCGATTGAGGGCGAGTAACTGGCAAAATTAAACAAAATGAACTGGACTGCTGTGACACAAACCCTTTTAGGAAGACGTTTTTGGAAGACACACGTCAACCGGAAGTGAAGCATGTTCCCTTTTAATATCCCCTGACGCTAACAAATTTGTCCTTCTAAGAATCTTTACTCTTCTTGAGACGATTTGCCAGATAAGTTGGGAAAAATCGCAGCCCAAGTATGCAAAACGTCCACTTCCGGTTGACGTACTACGCTAAAAAACGTTTCAGTTTGCTTACACCGGCTCCCTCTTGTTAGGCTTACGTTCTTTATTTAGGAACTGCAATCACTGCTCTACCTTACTATAAATGTTCAATTTTTTGTGTTGTTGAACGTACAGGTTAAAGGTGGTGTTTTTACACATTGTACGTCGGTGCCTCGTATAAGTAGTACTCATTAAAAAGACAAACCTAAGGCCGACGGTGTGCTGTTTCCAACTGTGCTCTGTTTTTATGGGCTTTTTTTACACAGGATGGAACTGAAGAAGTCGAAACAAGGATTTGAGAATAAATCTCGGTAGCTCACGCAGAGAACGTCGCGCAATAACCCACTGTGTTAATCCTTGTTCGTAAACAATAAGAGTCAATGTGAATGGTCGCGTAGTTTCCCCAGAATCGCCGAGTTTAGGTGACAATTTACTAGGGATTACCGTCCATATAAGGGAAACCCCTTCGGTAATCTTCGAAACGTTTCGGAAATCTTTGGATATGATCGGGTCCTCTTTGCAAAATTCGGGCACTCCAAGGATAAGAATCTCACCCTTTTCACTAACACAAAGTTACATGTAAGTGTCTTCCTGAAATGTTTTCAAATGTATCTATGACGTGTGTTCTCTCGGCAGATTTGCTGCCTCACGCCCAGGATTGGTGGTATCTGTTGTTCCTTACTGCCGTAATCAGGATGCTGTGGAACTTTATCCGACTGTTGTGAAGTCTGTGCCAGTTGTGCATCTAAGAGAACTGTTTCTCTTTGGTTCTACAGTTGCAACTGAAGCTAACTGATAGCTCCTAGTTACGAACTAGCCTGCGTAACGGTCGTTACTGTTTCCTTAGGCTGCATAGATGGCGCTTTATGAGACAAGTGAGACGAAAGTGGCATTTCGCGCGAATCGCGAGGCGAGGAAATCCGCGCTCGTCTCGCAATTCGCGCGAAATTGCTTGGCTCATAAAGCGCCAGTTATTCAGGCTGCCGTTTCCTCTAGGCCAAGCGGGGGAAGCACAAAAGACGCGCGAGGCAAAAAGGACCAAAATGGCGTAAAGGAAACGGAAACGACTACTACGCAGGCTAGTTAGGAACTGGAAGAAGTTAAAGTGTAAAAAGCTGTCTTAGTAGTTTTCACATCAGTGAACAGATACCTTTCAGGTATAGTTCTGCAGACAGCAGAGACAGTAATCAATTTATCAGTGTTAAAAAAAAAAGGAATAAAAGTGGGCATTAAAGATGTCATTCATGCCCTGGTGTTGTCATCGAGTCCTCGGTAGTATAGTGGTGAGTATCCCCGCCTGTCACGCGGGAGACCGGGGTTCGATTCCCCGCCGGGGAGATTTTTTTTTTTTCGTTTCGAAATTTCATTCGGCGTTTCGGCGTTTCTTATCAAGAATGGAAACCGTTTAGTGTGGATTTGGTTTTAACGTTATAATACGGACTAGTTTAAAAGAAATTCTGAGTAGTATGCGCAAAACGATGCTATATGGATCTGCTATATGTCACGTTGCTTTTTTGGTCAACAGCATATGAGTGCGACGTTGGTTGCAATTTTGCTAAAAAGCTTATAAGAGACAATAAGGCAATCTTGGAAAATGTCCACAGTACGCAGTATAAAAAACTCCTGTACGCTAAGGTCAAGGAATGACCTTTGAAACGGCACTGTATATCAGTACCAAGTAGTGCTAACGACGCCAAAACTGTTCTCACTTATGACAGACAAATTGGAAGTCATTGAAAGATCACAAAAGCCATGCTTTGATGTCAAAAAAACTGGGATCCAAGTAAACCTTTAATATAGAACTACGGCAAGATCTCGAGACAAGTTCACTGAAACTATTGTTCTTTCCACAGGAAAACAGCAAAAGAGCATATCGAACGGTTATTTATATTTGTTGCTGACTGTGGCAAAACATTTTCGTCTTACGCAAAAAAAAAGGACATTTAAAAAAAGGAAGTGAGAATGCTGTTTCCGGCCAGAATTGAACTGGCGACCTTCCGCGTGTGAGGCGGATGTGATAACCACTACACTACGGAAACCACGTTGATAGCATGTGCTGAATCTATCGTGGACCTTTGTAATGAGAACGCAAAATACTAACATATATGAAAGGCGTATGGGATCCTTGAGTGAACGGATGCTTGCCATAGCACGCAGACTATTAATTTCTTACCGTTATTCTTGTACCGTGAGATTATTTTGGATAAGTAAATGAGAGGAAAGGAAATGATCAGAACAAATGAAAGAATAGACCTTTTTAGCTTGTAAATGGTTTTGTTTTCCCATTTCAGCCCTCCCTTTTCAGGGGAAGAAAGTTAATAAGCCCCCCGCCCTTTTACCCCCCCCCCCTTCCCCCACCCGCTACCCTCCTTCTTATTTTCCTTCACTAATAACTAATTATATACCAGCGGCGGCGGAGCGAAAGAAAAAGCTGGGGGGAGGGGGGGCTTTCACTTTACTTGAAGAAGTTTAACATTAAGCGACGGAAAGTTCCAACTACTTAATTTGCTTACTACTTAAGCGCTAATAATAACTCTGGTCCACCCGCCATCTTCGATGTTTTGTTGTCGTTTGCGATCCTATGCTAATTTAGTACACCACGGCGTATGGTACCGGGGCCTTTTCAGTTTTATATATTGCGTCATGATCTTACCTCGCCGCAACACTTTACTAAGATGGATTCATTTTTAACACTATCGCTTTCCCCCTTTAAATCTTTTTAAATTGCTTTTATGCTTCCTCACAATACAAAATTTTCGCAGGAAAATGACGTGCGATAGCTGACTCACATACTGCAAATGAATCCACCCCAACTGTACCCGTTTTCAGGTTTTTTTTGATAGTCATTAGGTGGGTTATAGTTAGCTGGGTGTCTAAGTAAAAATTACGCCCGTCACTTTTAATATGTAGTATGTATTATGAGGTCAGTAGAAGTTTCCAAAGCATCGATGCGATCTAGGCAAATAATAAAATGGGATTTATAGCTAAAGAAAGGTAAAATATTGTCTTAGCAATTATTCAAACTGATGTCATTTACTTCTTTAAAGAGCCCGACGCACTTTTAAACGGCGGATCATTTCTCTAGCGAAACAACGAAGGGACTGCGGACTGTGGACTACAGACTACGGACTGTAGTTAATTGGCCAAATTGAACGAGACTTCAAGATTTCGGACTAGCATAAAACGCGGAGTAAAGCTTATTCAAGCCTTTTCTCTACGTCACTGCTACGTCCCTCTTACACCGTCTTTGCTAAACTGTCTCCGAAGGCATTTTCAGAGCGGGCGGTAGGTGTATTCTAAGAAACGATAGGTTTATTTGGAAGAAACAAAACTGCCTCGAAACTGAGTGGCTCCAAAAGCGAACTGAGACAGTAATCACAGAAAACACAATTCTGACAATTACAAGGTATGTCATCAGGTTATTTTGTTCGAGTCAAATTGAACAAAATTTAGAATATATTAAATTTTATTTATGCGTATTCCGCACACAATTTATTCTTACGAGCTTGTGTGGCACCCGGCCCTAAGTTCCTTGCTTCGTATTTTGGACTCAGGAAATTCATGTTACATTTCTAATAAAATAGAGGACATGAAGCTAAAAAAGTACCGACCAAGACTGTTTATAACCGAATTATATTTTATTACTTGTCCAAGATGTCCGCCACGAATTATTGCATATTTTAACTTCCTCAAGCCTGTTTTTTCTTTCTTTCTTTTCCGTTTCTTTTGTTTAAATAAATAAAACACGGTCCGTAGTCTGTGTTGTATACCCATTCGTAGTATGTAGATCCAGTCTGAAGTCCGAAGTCCACAGTTCGCAATAATGGCCTGGAAGCAAGCTCCTGTTTAGTCGCGAGAAGCCAAGAATAGAGAGCTTGCTCTGGGGGGTGTTGCTCGCAGGTTACAGTTCGTCGTCGATATTTTACACACTGACATGATGATGCCGATCGGCTTGACGGAAGGCTCCATTACCCTTTGTGTCCGTTGTCATACCTCTCACTCTCATTGATTTTAAAAGAGGACGCAATATGTCAGATATGTTTCAGTTTTTTAAAGAAAACTTGTTATACTGTAAACGTTTTCGTGTCACGGAAGCCAGCTGCGTTACAGTGCGAAGAACAAGTTATGACTGAACTACTTTTCGTGTCTAGGAAAGTTGAAAAACATCCCTAAATTCCCTAGCTTTGAGGTTTGTTGTACCTGCTCTGTCGGCAATCTTTCATTCGTCAAGGCCTTCTGCCAGAAAAAAAAAAAAAGAAAAATGTCAGAATTTTCGTTTGGTTGCCTCGATGCGCTTGGACAAACAAGGAAACAACAAGGAAAATCGACTGTAAATGCGCGAATTTTATGAGAGGAACTACTTCTGTCTCTTCAACTACTGTCTCAACGATTGGAAAACTGAAACTACTTTTTTTAAATATTTCATTTTTCTCTGTAACATCAGACAAAGACATTGACTTTGACCCTTATCGTATTTCACCTTTTCAGTTTCGATGCAAAGTCCACTTTTATCGCAAATTAGTCAGTTGGCTTTTATACAAAGAGCACAATATCACGTGGAAAACACGTGCGGAGCGATTTTAAATAACCCAGCAGCTGGATTTTAAATGAAGCTTTGTCATTTTTAAACTGCATTTGTTTGGACGAAGTATTGAAAAGTAAACAACAGAATAGTTTTAACAGATCTTATTATGAATTCCCCTCTTAAATTTCACTTTATTTCGCCGTCAGTTAAAGCGGTCCAGGTTCTGTACTGAGGTGAGAGTTTGCCATTCGGCAGTCACGTTTCGTCCGTGACTGATATTTCATCGCTCTGACAGTTTTGTGTTTCGTCCTGAGAGTTGAAATAACGATTGTTAGGTATGACGTGAAACACATATGCCGCTATATTTTTTGCTTGCTTGAATTAAAGATTTACCGAACGCTTCGGAACGGTTTGAAGGAGCATTTCCATTGATTTGATGCCGTCTTATCGCGTATCGCGATCTGTCCAACAGATGCTGGGAAAACAAGCAGAGTCAAAGAAAGGACGTTAAAAGAAATAAACAGAGAGCAGATTCAGAAGGGGAAAACGCCGTGAGTATTCTTTAGCATTGTTGAATATTGTTCAGTCTTAATTGATTCATGTTATTGTGAGAAGAAATGTCGATTTGACACGTGCTCTTTGGCCATCGTGTTACGTAATTTAAATATGTATATTTCACAATTCGTTATTGTCGTTTCCCATATGGTCTAGTGGTTAGGATCCGGCGCTCTCACCGCCGTGGCCCGGGTTCGATTCCCGGTGTGGGAAGATGGTTTTTTTTTCCTGCTTGTTTTTTTATTTTTTATTTTTTTACCGTACTACTGTATTCTTATTAACTTCAACATCCAACTTTTTAAATTTTTTTTTACATCGTGACAATATATTTTTTTAAATAAATATATACTGTTTGCATGAGATTTGTATCGGACTGTCGATCATGCTGTTCTAGACAAAATGTGGACAAAATGCCTTTATAAAATCATTGTTGTGATTAGCAAAGTTAAATCTCTTATAATCGTATAATAGAAAGGCGTGAGCATGGACGATGAGTTGAAAATCATCGTGGACGAGTTAAAATAGCCTAAATTACCCTAGCTCCAGAGCTCCGTTCTCGAAATACTTAGAAATTAGGAAAGAAAAAGAAAAAAAAGGAAACCTCTGGTATCCAGGGTAGAGTAAAGTTGGTAGTTGTATACCATTTACAAATAGTTTCCGGAAAATCCGATGGAAGAGTAAATGGAACACGACTTTACGACCTTTTGGATCGTTCCAACTAGTTTCAGTCCTTCACGGCCGATCCTCCTTTGTCGAAGGAAACTGATTCGAATTTACCAGTCCTGAATTTTGAGCATATTTGTCCAAAACGTGGACTGACCTGTTTGTCGATATGTACACACAGGTAGCCCAAGCTCGAGATATGAGCATCGGCGAGCATCGGCATTGTTACGTAACATTCAAAATACAAGGATTTGTATGGGAAAAAACCTGTTGTTTCTCTAACCTACGAAAATGAAAGGATTTCAATAAAAAAACAGGTTACCTTACTTAAAATGTGTGTTACAACCCTCCTGTGTGGTCCACGGGCCGATTTATGGCCGTTTTATTGGTTTTTGTGGTAAACCTTTATACAGAGAGAAAACCGTTCACATAAAAACCCATAAAACGGCCATAAATCTGCCCGTGGACCCCACAGGAGAGACGTAACACACATTTTAAGTAAGGTAAGCTGTTTTTTATTGAAATCCTTTCATTTTCGTAGGTTAGAGAAACGATAGGTTTTTTTCCCATACAAATCCTTATATTTTGAATGTTACGCAACAATGCCTATGCTCGCCGATGCTCATATTTCGAGCTTGGGCTACCCGTGACGTTCATGGTAAACAACCGATGATTATCAAGGTAGTAGACAACAGAGCTAGCGTCGGACAGAGACAAAAATATGAGCATCACGCGATAAACACGCAAACCCATGACATCCACTTGCACGTATACCACATTAATAATGACATCAGCCGCAATGGCATGCATTCCCCAAAATGCTGATGAAGAAGTTTAGTTTAAAGGGGCTGTGTCACGGCAGTCCAGTTCATTTTGTTTAATTTTGCCAATTACTCGCCCTAAACCGCTATGGAACTTAAAGTAAGCAAAAAATTACATGTAAATGACAAAATCAGAGACCCGAGACAAACAAATATGTCTCCTGAGCATTATTGTTGAAGTTGCAAGCAGCAGCAATCAACTTTGAAAAACTGTTAGGCTGAACAGTTTTCAAAAATCCTAATTTCAATCCGTTTCAATCTTCTTCAGTTTTGCCCATCCGTGACATTTGTTGTTTCTGTTATGTTATTTTAACCTTCCTTTAACGTTTTAAGCGGTTATTTTTATGTTTCTCTTAATTTAATGAGCACTTTGTAATTTCCTAATTTGGCTGAATTTCGTGACATTGAAATGAAGAAGGTGTAAAAATGTACACACGTCGCTCGCAAATGATAAAGTAAAGAGAAACAATGAAAAAAAGTGAGGTAAAGGAGTTAGGTTTTGAGCCACCTGGCGTTCGGAGTAAAATGTTGTTGTGCCCGAGGGTCTTTCTTGGCGGCTCGAAGCGGGAGCGACGAAACCGAGAGGGATTTTTTGCAAGCGGCGAATCCCCCAGGGATTTCAATTTGACTTGCTCTAAATCTTCACGCGGCTCCGCCGCCGAAAAAACTACAGGAATCGCCTGCTAATCCCGCCAGCTACGCAGGCTAAGTAAAATGTTTCAGTCTTTTTCCCTCGCATACAGACGTGAGGGATTATGGAAGTAAAAGACGTCTAACAGAAGGCTAGCACATGACCAGACTAATCGTTGTCCCGGGAAGGGTTTGCGATTGGCTTAGTTTGGATTTTATCTCCGGGAATTAATTTGTGCGATTCCAAGCAAGTGCATTCAAGATTATTATATAACCCTGTTAGATGAAGACGTCGTTGTAAGTACCTCTGTATTGCTCTTACAAAGGGTCTGTTCATCTTGCCTGTGAGCTGCGAGAGAACGTGCGAGCGAGGGCCCCTCGCACTCGCGTCTTCTTTCGCGTGTCTTCTCGTGACTCTCCCTAAATGGAGAGCTTGCTCGCAGGGTAAAGTTCATCCTAACAACCGACTTAAACGCTGTGTAAGGAGAGATTTCCCATGTATTCTTTATTTGCCTCGAATTAATATCAAGCTTTTAAATATTCCCCTTGAAGTTGTTTTAGCCGTAATTTACATTGAATTTACATTGAGATGTTTTAGTTCTTTTAAATTATACACATTTCACTTCAATGTTGACTTTTTTAAAGGATAATTAGTTTCTGAGTAATTATACAGCTTAGTCACTGAACACTGGTCACTGAAAAGGTGGGTCTAGGTCTTTCGCCTGTTCAAATACCAACCGTTCGTAGTTTTTATTTTGTAATTTTAAGGAATCCTGAACAAAGGAAACTTGAATTCTTTTGCACAGCTTTACTGCCGAATCCTTGTAGTTTCCAAAATTCATTTCATTGACTGACATTTAATTTTGAGTCATTTAGTTTAGCATATAAACTTTCAAGCTGAATTCATCCAGATTTGTTTTCAGTTTTCAGCTGATTTTATTCAGCCTTCTTTCCATTTGTTTTGTAATGTTATAAGATCGGTTAGTATAAATAGAGCAGTGTTATCGTATCCCTGTTTTTTGATTTACATTGCGGATTTTCATGGATGATTTACACTTTAAATTGGATCAGGGGCACCCAACGTCAATTTTCGGAAAATATCTGTTCGGAAGACGATTTGAGATCTAGAATTTTTGGAACATTTGTTCTAAAATTTATTTCTAGCCTGCCTCTCCTAGGATTTTCGAACATCTAAAACTGTATAATTCAGTGCCCATTTTTAACGGATTTTTACCCTAAAAAGGTCACCCAGAATTTTCGGGAGCCTTTTTTTCTGGCTGAAATTTTCGAAAAGGTAAGTTTTGATCTCTATAATTTTTGGATCACTAGACTCCGAACAGATGAAAAATTTTTAGGGGATAAAAATATGCCTATAATACGTTTAACAATGCCATGTTTAAGTGGTTTTGAACTATATTCTCGTTGGGTATCCCTGTTTGGATGCACATGCCTGTATGATTTACGTTCAAGAGCCGAAGATTAAACTGTTGAAGTCCAAGTTTGAGTGCTGTCCTGTTTTCCGGTTGTAGTAGATCCTAGTACCGTGGAACAGTGACGAGTTCCAGTCTTGCTAGCCAAGCGAGTTGTAGAGTTAGTTTTTCCCCTTGTTGTTCATAAGCCGAAGTCGCTCGAATTCTCTTAACGCTTATTTCCCAGATTTGTGCTTGGAAGGTCAAAACCTATCGTCACACCTTTTAGTCCAAAGATTGATCAACATAAATTTTGTCCCAAAAAAATCAATACATAATCAAGAAGAAAGGTAGCGAGAATAAATAAAGAGATTACCGTGTCGCACGAAATTTTTGCGAGCTAATGTTTGCGATTTTTCCAGCGATTCGCAAAAATAACCGCAAATAAACATTTTTCCCGCCAAAATTTACTCCAGAGTAAATATAGATCGTTTTCACCGTCACGCAACAAAAAAATAAACTGGAAACCGTCCAGTGGACGAAGCCAAGCAAATGAAGTGTTATAAAAGACTAATTTTTAAACAATTTGTCCAAGTCTGGGGTCTCTGTGGCCCACAGTTTCTGAGTTATTTGCCGTCACGTGTCACGCACCTTTGTAGAGGTTTGTATGGAGACGCCATATTGGTGCACCGTTTTGGTGCACCAATATGGCCGCCGGAAATCAACAAAAACATCTGGAGTTGACTTTTCCTATAAAAGCTCTTTCTTTTCACTCGAGAACTAGGATACGTGCGCATAATCATATCTTCTAATACTTGAAATGGTTATAGTGCTGAAAATCAAGAGGAGAGACTTTTTTTCAACTAGACAGCATTCCTATTTTGGTGTCACGCACTGTGAAAACTAGGAAGTTCAAATTGCTGTATTTTCAGTTAGTCGAGTCGAGGCTTTGCAGGACTGAGGGGAATGCACATATTTTAATATGCTCACTCTCCCGACAAACGTGAAGGCTGCTTGCAGTCTAATCTAGATAATAGAGAGATTAAGAATCGCGTTGACGGCAAACGGCAAACGTGAGATTCAAATTGAGGAACTTTCAAAATGAGAAATGAGCAGTTAAAAACAGCTTAAAACAGTTGTTATGGAGAGAAATGGCGTGAATCTACCGCTTTTCGTGTAGTTATAATGGACAGTAAACGATAAGTAAATGGAAAACTTGGTCACGTGGTACAAATTCATGCTTGCCGCAAACGCGATTTTAATCTCTCTAATGTAACTGACACCATCCGCTTCCCTTGTCGGTAATACAGGGGTAGGTGTACAGTTACCGAGTTTACAGGGATAGGTGTACAGTTACAGAGTCCACAGACGAAAACTCGTTTTCCTTTGAAAAACTAAAAATTTGTAATATTTTGTTGTTCGCAGGGCTAGCGTGTGTACTTCTCCGAATGACCAAAATTTCCTGGTGTATGTCGAAACATCAGCCGAAGCTAACCTCGGCGGAATGTCTTTCGCGAGGTAGCTGAGGGCTATGGATCCAGAGTGCAGTGAAGGGATTACTTCTTCTTTGTTTTTTAAGAGTACTGACCAATACGAAGGAGACCGCGCTATGTGTATAGAGAAACGAGAGCTTAATGCAAGAGAAAAAACACCTCAGCGTGAATCTACCCTGGGACAGTGTCCCGCAAAGCGTCGCTCTACTGACAATCAAGAAGAGGTGGCAACGCCCAAACGTATCAAACAAGAAATAGATGATTCTGGTTTGTATAAAGAAAACCTGCAAAAAATCGTTTGTGAAGTCGCTGATTCGCTTGAGCTTGAAAGTGATAGTTCCGATATCTCTAACTCGAATAATGAGAAGCAAAACTTTGAGAAAGCAAATGACAGGCCACTAGATCAACATGATGTCATAGTTGTGCTTGACGATGAAGACGAGGACGAATTGATCGCCGAGAATACGAAAGAAACTAGCGAACCTTTTCCTCATCCAAGTGATAAGAGGCGAGAAATAATGGCTGTTTACTCTGCTATGAACCAAGTTAATTATGAAGCCAAAAGGCCAATTCTAAGAACGCTTAAAGATTCAGACTCTAGAGGAAGTAACGGTTTTGCGTTTGATCACAATTTCTTTCCTAAATTGATCGAGGTGCACTCTGCATCGTCGTCATCAACTGCTACGACATCAGTTTCGACACAACAAGAATCTCCTTGTGACTTGCCACAAATAAGTGAGTTTTATTCGCCATTTGAGAAACAGGACGAGGACATAACCGGTAGCGGCCCAGTCGAGATAAATAAGATTAGTCGCTCAGATACTAGCGCAGCCTCGTCGCGTATAGATTCAAAGCTACTGGACACTCGTCTTGACTCGCCCTTGCGAAAACAGCATGATCTTCTGTTTACGTTCAGACAAAAAGATGGTCAAAGTGATATGTTTCTAGTAGTAGATGGGGAAGTGTTTTCAGTGCGGCGTTACGAGCATAAAGGAGAGTCGTACCTGATCCACACGAACAGCAGTGGTAAGACTTCGATTTTAGCCAGACTCCCAGAAAAGGTGGAGGCAGGGTCCCAGGAAGAAGCAGCAGTCACCAGTCAAAGTGTTTTAAGTGAACAAAGGGATATCACAAGAAATGGTTTACCGAGTGCTTTAGAGCAACCAGGAAACACTTTTTTGCAGCGCGGGTTGGCCTTAAAGCATTCTAGAACGTCACCTGTTACCATTACACCAGTTCTGGTCAGAAAGCACCTGTCTGCAAATTCTGTTAGGCAACGAAGTTTTCAAAGAATTCCTAGAGTTACACTAGAGCGGGAATGTACCTCAAAGCATGATATATGTGAACTACCATCAGTAAGAGTTACACGAAATGACACTTCAAACTTAGGGAAAGGACAACAATCACAAGCAGCCGAACGAAGGCAAAGAGACGTAGGTGCAAACGTAGCAGAGATGGTAACTCCATATCAGCGGCGTTTTCACCCAATGTCAGGCGTGATATCGCAGCCGGTTAGACTTTCCGTAAATGCTAGTGACTCAATCCAGCCTTCCACTGCTTTTCATAACAACGTTTTCTCAACTCAGAGGGATCCACTTTCCTCATCCAGTCGCTCGAGAGATCATCAGTTGGTTTTTAAGCGAAAACAAGTGGGTATGGTTGAGAGGAATTTGCCAAGTGAACAGCCGATTGCAGTTACCACAGCGCAGAGAAGATACAGCAATGACATGGCCAGCGACAGAGCCTCCCAAGGTTACACATACAAAGTAACTAACGATGAAAGCAGTGACAAGAGATATCATTATGTTGCTTTATCAAGAGAGGACAAGCAAAGGATCATAAATAGGACTAAGTTGATGAACTACATTGCTCAGCGACTGGCCTCGGGCAATGAACAGTCGTCAACTAGTGTCTCAGCAAATAGAGGATCTGAGGTTGGTAATGCGAGGCATGCACACTATAGAACGACTGTGAATGGGTCTGCTTCAGGAAGAGTAAACACTAGTGCTCGTTGTCAAGTAACACCAAATATTTATCAGACAGACACTTGCTCAACAGCGGATGATAATGAAAGACATCACAGTGGTAGTAGAAATGTGCCTTCTTTAGTGCGAACAATGGGAATCCACAATGCCGGTCAGCGGATTCCTGCGTATCAACTGGAAAGTAAAAACAGTGGGTTGATTAACACGCAACCTCGTCCTGACGCACAAGGTCGCGTGACAAATCCAAAGTACGGTGGATTACGGATGAATGATGGAGCTCGTTCAAGCAATGGAATATTGGAAACCTTTGATTCTTGGCAGGGACGACCTCAACGACACATTTCTTTAATAAACGATCCTTCGCAAGTAAACAAAGTATTGACTGGTATTACTGTTGGTGTTCCAGGCATACCAACTCCAAATACCACCGCTTCCACCGTGAACTCTTCGACACAAAACGTTTCGCGATCAGCGCCTGTCATTTCACAAGTTTCCTACGGTGTGATAAACCGATCCATGGTTGGTGAAAATGTCACTCCAAAACAATCTGCAACTGCATTGGTCATTGATCCGGAGCGCTCCATTTACGTCGATGCGACTGATTCGGTTATAGATGAAGAGCGTTTTTCACGTATTCTTGGTCATAGATTGTCTAGGCCGACTGTGAGGCAAACCATGAACGCCAGCACAGTTAATCAATCTCATTCGAGTGATCTGTCGGATACTCACACTAAGTCTTCCTCTAGTTTTCAAAGTTCTATGGGTCAGATGCCTGACCAAAGTTCTTTCGCAACTCCAAAACTTGACAAAAGCTGTGTTGCGCAGAACACACTAAAACAAAGCACTTTCTCAACTCCAAAAATTGACAAACGGTGTGTTGCTCACAACACACTTGACCGAAGCACTTTCTCAACTCCAAAGATTGACAATCGGAACCAAAGCACTTTCTCGACTCCAAAAATTGACAAACGCTGTGTCGCCCACAACACACTAAAAGATATATTTCCAACAACAAACCCACCCAGTAAGAGAACTGGTGTACTTACACAAATGAGTGGTCAACAGAATTCCAGTTATTCTTCACGAGAAAACAACTTGGATACAGATGACGTTGTTGAGATAATGATAAACACATCTGCGAGACAGGGTTCTCAAACTCAGCCGACAAAGGTTCCTGTAGACACCCATTGTCAGCCGAGACACGCAGCTAAAAATCTGTCCCAGAGTGCAACAAATGATTCTAAGCCGGGTGTTTATGATGATGATGATGATATCGTTGAGATTATATATGAAACCCCGAAAAAAGTGCCTAATGAAAACGCGGCTGAAAGGACTGGTGATTCTGAAGTTGTCAGTAAAGAAAGGTCCAAGTCTTGTCCGCAGATTTGCACTGCTCCGAGCGACAGTGTTGAAATAGCCAATCCAACTTCAAATCAGCGTTCTCACCCCCCAAAAGCAATTATTCTGGAGGAAGAAGAAGATAAAGGAAAGCAGATCCCCCAGCTACAGGGGTACACAAGTGACTCGGCACTGAAAAGACTCTTACAATCTTACCCAAACGGGCCGAACAGAGCAGATACCCCAGAATATAAGGACAAAGGTCTTGATGAAATGGCCGAAGAAACAAATCCAAACCTGAAACAAGATTCGGATTCTAGTCAAACAGACTGCTGTGAAATTGCGGATAAAGAAAAAGATCATCTGGAACTATACATGTATAACAAAGCCGAGCTGAAAAACATACAGCAGCGAGATGAACTGTTGAAGAAAATCAAAAATACCGAAGAAAGAGTGGCACAAGAAACTATTGAATGGAAGAAGAAATATCTTCACAGATTGGAAGTCCAACTAAAGAAAAAGCTGGCGAAACTTCCCAGCGTAACTGAATTTGCGCTGGGTAAAAATGATGACGAATCAGAGGAAGACATAACATGATACCGAGGAAATTTCAGTTAAATACGCCAGTGTTTGAAGGAATATTCTCAGTTGTACTGCTTGTTTTCTTTCTTGCTGCAACCTAGGTCGGACATGTCTAATTTGGGTCGACGCGTGAATTAAGCATAGGAATCCCACCGTGGAGCGACTTTGTATCAGACGTCGGAAGAGACGAGTGCACCCCATCCTAAAAAAAATCCCGGATCCGCCCCTGAATCTAATGCGTAAATTATTTTAATTTATTTTAATTGGTAAGCCTTGTAGACCATTGTACATCGTGAAAATGAATTTAGTCCGACGTATTGCCCGTCTGCATCAACCGTCGAGATCGGCCAAATAAGAAATAAGTTCGGTACATGAAAAGTCAGTCGACATTTGAACTAAGTCGAACTTTTCTTAGTTGTAGAACAAGAGTTTGATTTTTCTTTGACCTTGATTTTAGTCCAATATAAAAACAGCGAATGGAGATCCCTTTGAGAATGAGGAGTCAAAAAAGCTAAGAAAGCGGAAAACAAATCTTAATTGGTTGTGGACACCCTTTGTTTCATAATATTTAATCATCGGGACCTTGAAAACATATTTTTAAAAAAGCAAACAAAACTGCTAACAAACAAAAAACAAGCAAGCAAATAAAAACATCACAGCGATCAAGATGCATAAGAGAAGAAAGTTCACAGATCAGTTTTGAAAATTCATATTGTTGTTTTCAGAATGTAAAAAGGCTATAGTTCCTGTTTGCAGTCACCCAGGTGGTGAAATACTGGTAATGTAATACTTTCGAGTGAAGTTTTTGAGAGTTATCTGGACATCGTGTCTTTACTAGTAAGTGAGAGATAGAAAGTTGGATTTTCGGAATAAAGCACTCGGAAACGTGGCATAGCTTTTATTCCTTGCTTATCCTTTAAGCACATAAGCTTACAACTTCAGATGACTAAGTTGGGCAGTTTTTTCAAGTAATGTTTGGAACTTAACGACGCTTCTGACTAAATGAATAAGTTAATCCCCCAGGGGTACTCCAGACAATGTTGGGAGGGGGGGGGGCGGGGGTACAAACAAGACGCAGCCAACCTCGGAGAGCGGCTGTAAAGTATCCAGGAATGACATGAAACACAACGTCGCTTGTTTTATATCGGTTGTTTACCAAAATTTGTGGTAAATTTGAAGAAAGAAAGGCTTCTAGAAACTTAGAAATGGTTTATTTGTAAATGCTCTTTCATTCAACTGTTCTGAATATAGCGTATACTCAGCTATATGTGTTCATAATCATTAATGAATTTTTTAAGGAAAGAATCAGGCTCTCTTTCAGAAGAGTATAAAAATGGCCAGGGCAATCATGGATAATCTTATAACCAGTAAACCTCACATTAGACAAGTGTGACGTCGCGTTACCGTGGTAGCAAAATTTCTGGATCTCAACAACCTTTCTTGACAGAGATGGTCACTTGCAAAGTCGAACGATGGAAGAGAAGTATAGACTACCGTTTTGCATGCAGAGGAAAGTCATTCATGTCAATTTTTTCGTTTTTTGCAGCCATATTTGCAGGACAACGGTTTGTTGAGATCCTGAAATTTTACTACCACGGCAACACGACGTAACGATTTCTCCTCTCTATAAAGAAACTCAATGCTCTACGACTATGGCTTGTGCCCAGTCCTCTCTCCCCTCTACGTAGTCGGGCAAGCAAGCGAGCAGGGGTTGGTGGGAAGGAAGAAAGCGAGAAAGATTGAGAATGGGAAATGGATGGAGTCTTCTCATCTTCTTCCTTGCTAACAACTCCTGCACCCGCTACAGTGCACATTACGAAGATGACCGGGGACGAGTCAGCTCTATGACCCACCGAGACGCTTTGGTTACCACATGGACCTTAATCACACGGCGGCCATGTTGTCCCGAGAGACAAGGTTTTCACAGGGTGGTAAAACGAAGCTTTTTCAGTCTCTCAGGTCAACATGGCCACCGTGTGATAAAGTCCCATTATAAGGATGTTTGACTGTAATACAAACATCTCTGTAGTGCAGACACTTGTTTCTGTCCCTTTGGTATCTGTATTAAGGAGGTTTGACTGTAATACAGACACCTCTGTAATGTAGAAACTTGGCTCTGTCCCTTTGGTATCTGAATTAAGGAGGTTTGACTGTAATACAGACACCTCTGCAGTGCAGACACTTGTCTCTGTCCCTTTGGTATCTGAATTAAGGCGGTTTGACTGTAATACAAACATCTCTGTAATGCAGACACTTGTCTCTGTCTCTTTGGTATCTGAATTAAGGAGGTTTGACTGTACTACAGACACCTCTGTAGTGCAGACACTTGTCTCTGTCTCTTTGGTATCTGAATTAAGGCGGTTTGGCTGTAATACAGACACCTCTGTAATGCAGACACTTGTCTCTGTCCCTTTGGTATCTGAATTAAGGAGGTTTGACTGTAATACAGACACCTCTGTAATGCAGACACTTGTCTCTGTCCCTTTGGTATCTGAATTAAGGAGGTTTGACTGTAATACAGACACCTCTGTAATGCAGACACTTGTCTCTGTCTCTTTGGTATCTGAATTAAGGAGGTTTGACTGTACTACAGACACCTCTGTAGTGCAGACACTTGGCTCTGTCCCTTTGGTATCTGTATTAAGGAGGTTTGACAGTAATACAGACACCTCTGTAGTGCAGACACTTGTCTCTGTCCCTTTGGTGTCCGTATTAAGGAGATTTGACTGTACTACAGACACCTCCAGTGCAGACACTTGGCTCTGTCCCTTTGGTGTCTGCATTAAAGAGATTTGACTGTAATACAGACACTTGGCTTTGTCCCTTTGGTATCTGCCCTTTGGTGTCCGTATTAAGGAGATTTATCTGAAATTTCTTCTGCCGAACAAGTCATTTGTATAAAGGAAGCTGTGCTTACAAGTGGCTCTAAGTTGCGTTTACATAAACGCTCGGCGACTTCATTGTACATGTTCTGCGACGGATATACCAACAAATTAAAAGTCCTTACACAAAAGCTTATTCCAGGCTTTCAGATCGTGGGGATATCGCGAAGAGATGTGAGCAGAAAAAACACGCCTAGGTTTCATGTTAAAAGTTGGGAAGAAAGACAAAAAAAAATATGACTGAGTTAATGAAAACAAAAAAATCAATATAACGGCTGTGTAAGTCCAAGTGTAACTTTTTAAAATTAATTTAACTAATAGTTTCTGTCGCCCTTTGTTTAGTTTCTTTGCGCAAGTTTTGGTGTTTAGTTTTTCGTGTTATTTTTCACCCCCTCGTTAGCGTTTATTAAAATTTTCATCTTCATTAGCGCCTTTTTTCACTTTTCTTTAGTTTGCTTTTCTTCATATTCAAAATGTTCTACCGTAATTTATACCGTAGTTCTGCACTACAGTTTATTCAGTTCATTTTGATCCGCGCTAAGCGCAGTTATGTTTGGTTTCTTGCAAGTCTCTTCGCGTTATCCGCGTCCTCTTCACAGCAGTTTTCTCTGGCCAAAACAATGTAAGTGTATTTCACAGTCCTCGCTTTTTGCAGTTTTTTTAAATTCCCTTATTCTGATTTTCCTTAGTCGCTACTTGTAAGACCAGTTTTGCTCTCCCGTTTCAGTTTCAACCCACGCCGTTTGTATCCACACTGTTTCATACCACGCATTTTATTTCAAGTACTAAGCACGTCCTTTACCAATAAATCTTCATTCGAATTTGGTTTGTGGTGTTGTTATTAAAAGCCAAGAGACTTTTAAGCTTATTGCAGTTTCAGGCTCCGTTAATTTTTTTTTTCTGACATTCAGACGCTATATTTGACCTGATAGGTTGTTACAAAAATCATGTCATAGAAGTTTTCGTATGAGTACCGAAATAATATCGTTGAAGCGGATAACTGATCTGTCAACACTTAGGGCAAAGAACTTGCCATGAAACTTAGTTAAGGTCATCCTCCGAGCAAAATTGATCCCGGAAAATTTAATACATCAATCTTGCCGAGTAGTCTAAGAAAGCCCTCTTGATCACTTGTTTACAGTCGATGAATTCAGTAACAGCTTTTTAGAGCTTTTTAAAAGAAGGTGTAACAACACTTCATAGTCTGTATGTATGTAAGTCCGTCTATTCGCACTTCTCACCTAATATAATCATTATAATGTCGACCCCAGAACTCGGTGCGCATACGCGTGAAGTCAAAAGCATAAATACTGGGGCCGAGTGTGATAGACAATGCAATAAACCAGGTCGCAAAAAGACCTGGAAATTAAATGGAATATTTCCTACTTAAAATTGTACTCCTCTTTGAAATCTAAAAGAGAGTTTTAGAAACGCTTTAAGTCGTAGCCTACACTCTGACAACTGACAACTTTTTTTTCCACTTCATACCTCGTGCGTCTATACGTTTAGTAAATTAAAAGAAAAGAAAATTAAATGGAAGCTATTTACACTTCGTAGCCGCTAATGACACAGAGCTGGTGAGATCAAGCACAAAAAAACCGCATAATTCAAAATTAATTTCTAATAGCAGAAGGCGGACCGTTTGGATCTTTACAACTACACCATGGGATAATCTAGATAGGAAAATCCACCATGTTGTCATGCACTACGGAAATAAAACACGGGTCATTCGCATTAAAAGCATGGTAGGTCGCTCGACGCTGTCTCATATCAAGGACATTTAATATCTGATTATAGAATAATTCATATCTTTTTATAAATTCAGTGTCTGTTTAATTTACCATTCGCTTGCGATATTTGCTTTAAGTCATTTCTTATTAACTATTTGAGTTAATCTTATCAGTCAATGATACAAATTTCCCAAGTCCTCATTATAGACCTTTTTTTAAATTTCGTTGCATGTGATTAAAAACTACAATGTGGAATGTAGTGAGTGTTACTTAGGTACTAAATAGTTTCGCTTTTATTGAGTCTGATTGAGTGTTCAGTTTGGGTTTCATTTCCTGGATAAAAAGCATTTCGTAGATCGTCACGCATTCTTAATATATAAAGAACTTTTAACAATCTATCTTTTTAGAATTTGAAAATGATGAGCGAGTCATCGAAACGTCATTCAAAATTTTTATCGTTGATTTTTTTTTAAATTTGTTGATTATTTTCTCTACAGCTGTTGATAAAAAAAAGTTCACAAGGCACACGCCATCAACTGCCGCGGTACGTTGAGCCTTATTTCGTGGAAATTTTCACACGCTTGGCGCGCTGCTACAACTGATGGGGAAAAACAACTTAACCCAGGATGAAAACAAAGAAATGCTTTACGCAGACCTGTTTTGTTTGCCAGAATCAACTGAGGGGATTAAAAACCAGCTAATATTTCTTGCGGCGCTTAACATATTTCTTTCTATCACTGCGTTGCTTGGAAACTCCTTGATCCTAGCTGTTCTTCGGAAAGAGTCTTCTCTTCATCCCCCGTCTAAAATTATGTTTCGGAACCTAGCCATAGCCGACTTCTGTGCTGGTATCATTGCAGAACCTGTCATTGCAATTTGCTGGTTGTCTGTGGTGAATAAACGTTGGGATATTTGTCGCTTCGCATTGATTGCAACTCATATCACAGGCTATATCTTAGGCTCGACATCTTTGTTTACTTTGACTACCATAAGTGTGGACAGGCTTCTCGCACTGTTGCTGGGGCTAAAGTACCGACAAGTTGTAACTTTGAAGAGGACCGGTCTAACGATAGCAGTTTCTTGGGCTGTTTCTATTGTTAGTACGACCTTTTACTTTTGGAATTATGTAATAACCTCTTGGATCTCTTCCGTAGCTATTTCACTGTGTCTTTGCACTTCATTTTTCTCGTATTCCAAAATTTTTCTTACCCTGCGCCATCACCGAGTAAGAGCACAAGATCACGTCAATCAGCAACAACAGAGTCAAGCAATTCCTATGAACATAGTACGCTACAAGAAGGCAGTGTCTGTTACGTTGTGCGCTCAAATCACTTTACTTGTGTGTTACCTTCCACATGGTATAGTGGAAGCTTTTACACAAAGAGGACTGTCTTCATCGATCTTTCTGGCTAGGTCTTTTACGGCGACGCTTGTTTATCTGAAGTCAACCTTAAACCCGATTGTTTATTGCTGGAAGATGACAGAAGTTCGAAGAGCAGTAATCGAACTTATAAGGGATCTTTTCTGTTGATCAAATTAATTTAACTTCCACATATTACTTTGTGCTGTGTTAGGAAAAATACGCCTATGACTGAACAGTTTGCTCAAGGAAAGTTCAGGAGAGGACTGAAATGTAAACAGGAGTTAGTGCTATCACATCTTAGAGGTGTTCTTTATCTACATGTACCATTCCGAATCGAATCGGAGTTCAAACATAGGGAGTTTAAACAACGATACGCACGTCAACCGGAAGTTGACTTTTTTGCAATCTTGGGGCGTGATTTTGACCAAATGTTTGGGCAAATTGACTCTGTGAGAGAAAAGATATTTAGGAATACAAATTTGTTAGCGTCAAGGCATATTAAAAGGGAGAAGGACTCACTTCCGGTTGACGTGTGTCTTCCAAAGACGTCTTTGATTAAGAGACGGACTATTAGAAAAGTTATGGGTGGGGGGGGGGGGGGTAAAAAAGACTGAAAAAAAAAAAAAAAATAAAAAAATAAAATTGGTAGAGTGAAAAGAAATAAAAAAGGTGGGGGGCTGTCGTGGGGGTGGTGTGTTGTTTTAAAAAAGGTTTTTTAAAAGAAGAAAAGATAAGAAGGGTGGGGGGGGGGGGGGGGGGGGGGGGGAATTTTCGAGCGGTAGGAATTTTGTTCGTTATCAAATTCCTTGTTTAAATTTTTCTTAGGCCATAGCATGAATATTTTTGAGGGCAAAATTAGCGTGCAAGAATTTTTTTCATTTAATTTTCCCTTGCGCGAATTTTTTTTTTGTACTTCGCCCGCACCCCCGCCCCATGAGTTTTCTAATGGTCCGTCCCTAAGCTCCCTAATCACTGCCTAATGTTGGTTAGAGAGTGGAAACTGAAACAAGGGGCTATCAGAATGAGAACATGCAAGAAACTTAATCCATCTTAGCATCTCAGACAAGAAGCTAAGAATTTAGTTAAAACATATACAAGTGCTTATTTGGGCGGGTCAATGAAACGAGAAGGTGTAAGAAAGATCCTATGAAATTCTTATCAAATCTGGAGAAGATTTTGCAGGATAATAGACAAGATCCTATGCAATCGTGCAAGATCTTAGAGGAATTCTGTGGAATCTTAATCAGTTCTAGAAAATATCCTACAGTGTTATAGACAAGATCATATGAAATCCTACAGGATCCTTCAGTATCCTAGAGAATCCTATAAGATCGTACAGGATCCTATGGAATGGGTATGGGATCTTAGACAAGCATGAAAGGACTGCACAGCACTCTGTAAAATTTTAAACAGTGGAATCATACAAGATTCTACAGGAACTCACAGGATTCTAAACAAAATCTTATAAAATCGTTATTAATTTTCGTCAAGCTATTATGGGATCTTAGACGAGACTTTGAACGACTCAACAGCATCCTGTAAATCCTGGTATGGAATCCTAATCAACTCTGGAAAAGATCCTACAGTATTATACACAAGATCATATGAAATCATACAGGATCCTAGAGAATCCTATAAGATCGTACAGGATTCTCAACAAAATCATTCTATGGAATCCTCAACAATTCTACACAAAATGGTTGTATCCAGCCGTATACATGTGATAGAAAGAATGTTTGAACTCAAGGGCTTGTGAATTGTGCAGAACTGGCAGCAAATTTTTGCATCAGTTGTACCTAGATGACTGTCTCAATTTTTTTTCTCCTCCTGAATAATGGAACTATATTCTACATGTATCAGCCACGAATAGGAAAGTAAATTGAACGTGTAAATAAATTCACATTTATGCAAAGAAGTTCTGTGAGGTTCACTCTTTTCAAGAGAACATGAAGTCTTGTGTCAGTTGATGAACAATATCATTAATCTATATCAAAGAAAAACTATCTTTGTCACGAAAAGTATGAGAATACAGAAGAAAAACAATGTAGGGAAAAGGAAAACTGGAGTTTTGAAGAGAATGCTCATTAGGAATCTGGTTGATTTACATTTTGTTTTGAGCAATATCAAACAAAATTTCTCGAGTTTTAAAACACCATGACTTGGAGCACCGCACCAATTATTTATAAAGAAGTTTCTCTTACAAAGGTGCTGAGGTGTGGAAGATTAACAGCCTATCCCAAGATATGCGTTCTGCAGCTTCTTTAATCAAATTTATCACAGCTGAAGCATGGCATTACCCTCAGGACGTTTAGATTTTATCTTATTTTACTAGTAAGTTATATTAGCTAAACAGAATTCGACGTTTTACTTATAAATTATGCCGAAGAAATTTTTAACCGTGTTTAAATACTGTTTTCAACCAATCAATCAATCTACAACTCCTGAGAGACAACTTTTTTTTCTGAGAGCCTGAAGGTTCACTGGCTAACAACTTCAGCTGGTTCGTGTATTCAACCCTTAGAGAGATATTTGGAGCATTTCAAGCAACCCAGAAGTGGTCAGGCCTTCTGAAAACTCAGCGGGGCACAGAACGTAAAAAAGATAGCAAATATGTTTCCTGTAAAAGGCTTTGGCGGGAGCGAANATCAAACAAAATTTCTCGAGTTTTAAAACACCATGACTTGGAGCACCGCACCAATTATTTATAAAGAAGTTTCTCTTACAAAGGTGCTGAGGTGTGGAAGATTAACAGCCTATCCCAAGATATGCGTTCTGCAGCTTCTTTAATCAAATTTATCACAGCTGAAGCATGGCATTACCCTCAGGACGTTTAGATTTTATCTTATTTTACTAGTAAGTTATATTAGCTAAACAGAATTCGACGTTTTACTTATAAATTATGCCGAAGAAATTTTTAACCGTGTTTAAATATTGTTTTCAACCAATCAATCAATCTACAACTCCTGAGAGACAACTTTTTTTTCTGAGAGCCTGAAGGTTCACTGGCTAACAACTTCAGCTGGTTCGTGTATTCAACCCTTAGAGAGATATTTGGAGCATTTCAAGCAACCCAGAAGTGGTCAGGCCTTCTGAAAACTCAGCGGGGCACAGAACGTAAAAAAGATAGCAAATATGTTTCCTGTAAAAGGCTTTGGCGGGAGCGAAGGTGGAGGGGATAGGGGCCGTTGTTTTATGTAAACATACATACAAGGTGCCAGTGTCACCAATCTCCCCTCCCTCTCCCTTCTCTTGTTTGCATAAAGTAACATAATAAACCGCAAATCAGGCACACCCACGCGATTATGTTAAAAAAAAATAATTTGCTATCCGACTCCGACGAACGGCTAAAGAATAAACCAACTAGCAGGATACACAACTTTGCGAAGGAGCTTAAAGTTATCGAATGTGCGATCGCGCTTTTGATTCAAGTCTTTCCTGGTTCCTACACTTCCTAACTAATCCTTACAAAACTGAAAAATCTCCAAAATCCCATGATTGATCAAAATGCCATTTTTGGCGATGAAAATTGACGCATCTCTCTTGAACTTAAAGAACAGAGCCAAGCGAAGGCCCAAAAACACACCATTTTTGAGTAAAATCTGAAGGGTGATAAGGATGATGGCTGTGTATTTGTAAATATGGGAATGCCAACTTCATTTCCCTCCAGAATAACTTGCAGCATTTCAATTCCGTCGAAGAGATCTAATGTTATTTGGAAGGCCAGTTTTAATAAGAACTCTCTGTCTTTACTTTTCGTTTCAAATGTGTTAAGCAACAGCAACAAAAGGAGCAGAGTTAGGCAAAGGGTCATCGTCAAGACATCTGGTCCAAAGAACGAATCCAAAACGAGTCAAGTTCTATCTTAAATCCAAGACTAATGTTAGGTAGAGAGTATAAGATAAAAATGAAGTTATTTAAAGATTTTTGCTTCTAATTAAACGCTCATGATAATTATTTCCAATTTCTCTATGAAAGATTCAGGGGCACCCAACGAGAATATAGTTCAAAACCACTTAAACATAGCATTGTTAAACGTATTTTATTATTTAAACGGTAGATATAAGCATATTTTTTCCCCTAAAAATTTTTCATCTGTTCGGATTTCCTAGCTGAAAGTCTAGTGATCCGAAAATTATAGGGATCAAAACTTACCTTTTCGACAATGTCAGCCAGAAAAAGGTTCCAGAAAATTCTAGGTGACCTTTTTAGGGTAAAAATCCGTTAAAAATGGGCAATTATACCATTTTTTAGATGTTCGAAAATCCTAGAAGAGGCAGGCAAGCAAGAAATTTTACAAAAAATGTTCCGAAAATTCTAGATCTCAAATCGTCTTCCGAACAGCTATTTTCCGAAAATTGACGTTGGGTGCCCCTGAAGATTGTCAAGTTTATACCGATCACTGGCCGATTCTATGTACTGATTACTCAATATTCTGCTCAGTAATCGTCACAACCACAACATTGACTGATTGAACATACCTCGAAAAGGCCAAGGCAAATGACAATAGCATTTTTAGCAATAAAAATAGAAGCATCTTTTCCGTAGCCCCGCCATAGATACATGCGAAGCCCCAAAAACACACAATTAACACAGATGATCTGTACGGCTGTTCGCAAACCTTCTCTACATCTATGTAGAAATCCCCACCTATTGGAACTTCTTAACTTTATCTCAACCAGTTGCAATGGGGAGAGGATAAAACTGATACAGACAAAAGCGAGTATGGCTTTTTCAAAGGGCTTTCGAACGCCATGCCTGACTTCATTTTCTTCGATGATAACTTCCAGCATTTCAACTCCATCGAAGAGATCCAGAGCCATTCGTAGGGATATCTGCCAGATTTGATCTCTGTAGCTGTTGGAATCTGTTCCAGTACTCAAAAGCAACAACAAAATCACTGGGGCAAGGCAAAGTGTCATCTTTAGATTGTTTGGACCGAAGACTTTCGCTTTGTCGAGTTTATCTTCTAACGGTTTGTCGCCTGCAAATATGATTAGGATGAAGATCACGAAACCAAAGATATAGCATATCCAAACAGCAAATAACCATGGTAAATTTTTGTCATCCCACATGATATAAAGCCAAAGAAACATTGCAGGACCGTACAGGAGGACTAGTCCATAGAAACCATCTTCGTTTTTGTACTCGGCAGGATACGAAGCTAGCGAGAAGGCCTGGAGGACTAACAAGCCAAAGAAAAGGAATCGCCCAGTGCAGACTAACCAAGAGGCCATGATAAAGATAATCTTTTAAGGAACTTCTACGATAAGTTTTGCCTCTAGAAGCTCCTATAGTAAAGTTACTGCTATTGCGTCGAAATAAACTTTGAGCATAATTCTAGAATGTTGTTACCGGCAGCACTAAAACATAGAATCCGGAATCCGGAAACGGAAACGGAATACGGAATCTGTGAAAGAAGGTTCCAAGCGATCGATTTGAAAAAAAATATATTAGCAATGACAATAAAATAAATTAACAGATACAAAAAAGACACAAATGAATAAATAAGCTGAGTACAGGAGAGGAGACTGCTGTATCACTAGAGGAGTCGATTCCGGTGAAAAGACGCTTGATACCACTATCGGCAATGAATGCAAATTGTCATGGGACAACAAAGCGAGGAGAAAAACGTTACTGACAAAAACTAGTGCCTTAAGAAAAAGGTAAGTTATATGGAGACAGACTTCGTTTGAATCGTCAGAGGCGTCGCCGTCAAGTTTTTCTTATTGTCTTTTCTGGGTTGTCTTCAACAGTGTTCAGTTTTATTTATCAAGACAACTTACTTAAGAGAACCATGACATTGTGGAGTCCAACCGCCGCCCGGTTAGCTCAGTTGGGAGAGCGCCGGTCTGCTGAGCGGGAGGCCGTAGGTTCAAACCCCGGCCGGACCAACACTCAGGGTCTTTAAATAACTGAGGAGAAAGTGCTGCCTTTGTAATAACATCTGCAAATGGTTAGACTTTCTAGTCTTCTCGGATAAGGACGATAAACCGTAGGCCCCGTCTCACAAGCCCTTGCACATGTAATAAATCTGTGGGACGTTAAAGAACCCACACACTCTTCGTAAAGAGTAGGGCACGTAGTGCCCGGTGTAGTGGTCTATCTCACTTTCACACTCATGTATGGGGGCATCATCACTCATTCCTTCAGTACTTGTAAACTGCACCTTAAGCAGTCTGGCAAAGTCCCCCAACCAGTGTTGTAAATTATCCCTGAAAAGCCCTGTGGGGAGTGGATAATAAGATATTTACAATTTACAAAGAGAAGAGACAATTGTGCATGTATTTGCTTAATTCCGCAACCGATTACATCAAAATAATGCGCTATGTTTAATAAGCCTCTTCAATAAAAATACGGACGTCCACGTAAACTCAGTTACCGGTACACCAGTATTCCATCAGTATTCAGCTTGGCGAAAAAGTTGAACTTATTGCTAAAACACCGGAACTGTGGTCACGTCACCGGTCGGTCATGTGTGGAGTATTCAGTTTGGGGACAATCACGTGGTGTGGTCTCAGGCTAACTACTACTATTCTTGACAATTAGCTACAAAAGTAATATTTAACTGTATTATTCAACCCATGAACTCGTGAATAAAAATTACTCGTAAAATTACTTTCATCGGCCTTGCAGTGCAGTAACCCACACTACGGCAAACCTTATCAAGACACAATAACAAGAATATATTTAAGGGAACTGCCAAGAAAACTAACACAAATTCTCTTTGGATTGTACTAAATTGTGTAATGTGAAATTCTTTAATTTTCTATCATTGATATTTGCTTCCGTATTCCGTTTCCGTCTCTGTTTCTGTTTCCGTTTCCGTGATTCCGTTTCCGTTTCCGGATTCCGGATTCCATGTTTTAGTGCTGCCCTTTCTGAGAAAGCGTAAGACAATGAAGTAATCTTTTCCGAGAAAAGCCGATGTGAACAAATACAAATTAAAAACCCGATTGCTTTTGGTAAGTGACGTAATAAGAGCAACTGTGGAGTTAAGCGACTCCCCTGAATTACGTGGGATACAAAATTTGCATCTAACCATGACTGCCTTTCCATCGTTTTCGTTAGTTTAACGAATTCGAACTTTTTAGCCCTGTTTTTAGCCTTCCACTCGAGAAAAAACAAAATTGCCGTTCTTCATATGAATTGAACGATCTAATTTAAAGAATTCTAGAAAAAATCTCTCGTGAACTCTATGGCTTGTCTTCATATGAATTGAACGATTTAATTGAAATAATTCTAGAAAAATCTCTCGTGTCTCACAGGACAAGAATTTTAAAAATTTAAAACTATTGCATTTGAATACTAACTTTTAGTTGAGTATGAACTCCCCATCAACAACATTGAAATTTTGTGCGTAATCTTTCGCTGTCCGAATTAATAGTTTACCGTGCATTCGTAATAGTTCTTGGCAGGCAAAGTCAAGGTTACAAGTTTGTAAGTGTTTCTATTATTCGTTTACAAAGTCTAAAGACTAAATTCATTGATTATAACCCACTGAGATCGCTGCCTTTTTAGTTTGTGGGTCACCATGTTGAAATTGAATATTTGAACACTGTGAGAAATAGTTCTTAATGTGTGTAACCGTAGTTTGGTGATCGATTTGGGTGACGCTGTTTAATCATTTCCATGATTACACATTCAGTTACACATCAAGAGTCTTGTAGTCTTAATTTCTCGACAGATTTGAAATCATATATGTTATGTTACATTAAATTCAAACCTTAAAAAGAAGTAAAAGAGTATAAAGTAGCAAAACTTGTCAGATTTTTTAAACTTACAAAGCTACCTTGTATTTGACCTCGGCTTTAGAAGCACCGCACATATTAATCATGCATGAGATACACTTAAGTCACAACTATAAAACAGGAGCAGGAAAGTCCACCTTCATCCAGCGATACAATGGTAAAAAAATTACTATAATAAATAATGTCTAAGCAGTTTTCACAAAGTTATGTCTCTAAACCGATTTCGCACAGAGTAAGTAATGACAACAAACACTGCTTGCCATTTTAGACCACTCTCAGTCCAAAACAACTTTTACATAACTCAGACCAAAATCTAACGGAATGTGATTCACAATGTGCATTAATTTCCAAAATGGACAAAACTATTGATATGATATTCTTTGCAATAAAGATAGACTCATCTCTGCGGTACTCAGCGTACGCCACTAAGCGAATGATCAAGAAGGCGAAATTAACCAAAGCTATCTCTACCAAATTACGAAGAACTGTCGCTCGGAAGCGAATCTTTGTGTCATCTCTTGATAGCTTGTTCTCAAACAATTGCCAAAGTGACATAAGTAAACTTAGAGATGCCACTGCAACCATGACTATTCCGAAACTTTCAGGAATTGTGTTGAGGCTTGACGTTACAATTGTCGGTTGGGTTTCATTTACTGTAACATTTGCACACGAGCAATTCACACTTCCGTGTCTTTTGTCTTCCAAGACGATATCTATCATATCTACAACGTCGAAAAGATCGATGGCCATTTGGTAGGAAAGCTTAGACACTAGATCTTTGCGCTCATCAGAGCGATCTAAATCGTCGGCATTGTGTAACAACAACAGCAACAGAGGAGGTGTGACGCACAGAACTCCCTTCAGGACATTAGGGCCAAGGAATTTTTCGCTGTCGAGTTTGTCTCCGATAGTTCCAAATAAGATTCCAATGTTCACGACAAGGGTAATAACGTATGAAACCCAGACATAAAACAGACAACTAAGTTTCGCCTTCTTGCGGATGATGAGAGCAAGCCACACGATCGCTGTTATAGCAAATAAAACACCTTGTACTATCGGTGCCCAAGCTGCAACCTTATATTTGATGGAATAAGCGACAAAAAATCCCCCTTGGATAAGCAGGAGAACAAAAAATATCACACGGCCTACGGGCATCCAAAGCGACGCCATCACTACTTTGTTGACAACCTTCGCAAGCGAAAGGTGCTTGCTGATCAAAGGAGGCTCTTATAGTGACTGACCAATAAGGAAGCGCCAAATCGCTACTACGTCGCGCAAGTTTGATATCATTAAAGTCATAGGTATTTTCCCAGCATCGAGGATCGAGGATGTCTGCGTGTAAAGTAAGGTTGATATGAACATACAGGGACGAGATGGAGTTACATTGTATATCAGCGACCAACGTACTCTTGCTGATAGCATAAGTAGATTAATATATTAAAATTCTTCAACAAAATAATTTTATTTTGCAAAGATGTAATCCAGATGTAAATAAACTGAAATGGACTTTCCCGGAAGAGCTGAAGCTTTTTCTAGAAATATTATCTTTCCGTGAAAAATTTCATATATATCGATATCAGTGATGTAATGTTTTTGGGGGTTTCCCCGCCATTTCGGATTCATTGACTCTGAAATGAAAACGTCACGCTCTCCCTTGATTGATTTTGACCCTTTTTTCAGAGATGCTCTGTAAGCGATTTACCAAATTGATTCGGCAACTCTTTTCTCTTTCTGTCATTAATTAGCATGCTTACAGAGCAATTAAAATTTGCACAGATTTTCCCCATCACGAATGTCTTTCAGATTGAGAATATCAGCTTACGAAAGACCCCAGGATACCACGCACGTATGCTGTTCATCATTATGATAGGGTAGCTACTGAATGAAAAAAGAGAAAATATGCACTCCAAAACGTTTATCTATAAACATATAGTAAGAAACTGTGCCCATCTAGAGAAGAAAAAATAAATAAAAACAATAACAAACAACAAATTAGTGCATTTTCCTCAACTGACGTCAAATTTCAAACATCTCGGACGACAAAATATCAACCCAAAACTCTCCTTTCAACTTACATGGAGTACAGATACTTTAATTTTTCATTTATTTCAAAGCCATTAGTTTTTTCCCACGGCAAAAAATTAATCAGTTTATCAAATTATGGGACTCACGAGGTCTCTATTGTGCATTTTAATTTGGCGGTAGAAAATCGATCAGACTATGATGAAATCAAGGCTGAGACAATAAGCTGAAAAAATGTCCACTCTGAAATTATGTTGGCAGTATCATCACAACTAAAGAAGTAGTCTCGCACGTCTTCAGTGCACGCTGAATCCCACCGTAGTTTCAGCTTAAGTATAATCAATAGCGTTCCGTTCAAAAGAGAAGAACTGGAAGATGGCAAATAATTAAAAAAATGGTTAGTATAGATTTTCTCTATTTCTTCTTGCAGAATGCATATATGTTCTTGAAGTAGGCGGGAGTATCATTTTTCTAGTTTAAACCACCAGCCAGAATACTTCCAAATATAATCATAGACAGCGAATCAACATGCTACGTTATCTAAAGTGAACAACAGTAATAAAACTGAACCAAAATAATTGATTTTTATTACCATTTAGTATGGACTATGAAAGTTTGTAATCATCACATGATGTTATACCAAAATAATGTTTGAACGGCGCCGGGAGGTGTTTTTTCTATACTTATTAATTCTTATAATATAATTGTGATTCGGTTAAATCATTATCTGCGAGTTATAAATCGTTTCAGTCGCCCTTTGAACTCTCTGAGTCGCGCAGAACATTTTCGCCATTCCCTTTACATAGACTTACAAACGTCGTTGAATGCGATTGACAAAGAGCGTGAATTTCCAAAATTGCGATGAAATTCTTGGCTATAAAAACAAAGTCGTCTTGGCCGTACTTAAAAAAACCACTCCACGGATGATCAAGAAAAAGAAATTGACGAAGATCACCTCTAGAACGTTGCGTGCAACTCCTGTTCGAAATTGAATACCCGTGTCATTCGTGGAGTGCTTGTTTTCAGCCCATTGCCATATAGACATGAGACTGAAACATGCGACTCCTATCATCACTCTACCGAATACTGGAGGTATTGCAAGGCTTTTGTTCAATTCCGAGGNATATATATCGATATCAGTGATGTAATGTTTTTGGGGGTTTCCCCGCCATTTCGGATTCATTGACTCTGAAATGAAAACGTCACGCTCTCCCTTGATTGATTTTGACCCTTTTTTCAGAGATGCTCTGTAAGCGATTTACCAAATTGATTCGGCAACTCTTTTCTCTTTCTGTCATTAATTAGCATGCCTACAGAGCAATTAAAATTTACACAGATTTTCCCCATCACGAATGTCTTTCAGATTGAGAATATCAGCTTACGAAAGACCCCAGGATACCACGCACGTATGCTGTTCATCATTATGATAGGGTAGCTACTGAATGAAAAAAGAGAAAATATGCACTCCAAAACGTTTATCTATAAACATATAGTAAGAAACTGTGCCCATCTAGAGAAGAAAAAATAAATAAAAACAATAACAAACAACAAATTAGTGCATTTTCCTCAACTGACGTCAAATTTCAAACATCTCGGACGACAAAATATCAACCCAAAACTCTCCTTTCAACTTACATGGAGTACAGATACTTTAATTTTTCATTTATTTCAAAGCCATTAGTTTTTTCCCACGGCAAAAAATTAATCAGTTTATCAAATTATGGGACTCACGAGGTCTCTATTGTGCATTTTAATTTGGCGGTAGAAAATCGATCAGACTATGATGAAATCAAGGCTGAGACAATAAGCTGAAATAATGTCCACTCTGAAATTATGTTGGCAGTATCATCACAACTAAAGAAGTAGTCTCGCACGTCTTCAGTGCACGCTGAATCCCACCGTAGTTTCAGCTTAAGTATAATCAATAGCGTTCCGTTCAAAAGAGAAGAACTGGAAGATGGCAAATAATTAAAAAAATGGTTAGTATAGATTTTCTCTATTTCTTCTTGCAGAATGCATATATGTTCTTGAAGTAGGCGGGAGTATCATTTTTCTAGTTTAAACCACCAGCCAGAATACTTCCAAATATAATCATAGACAGCGAATCAACATGCTACGTTATCTAAAGTGAACAACAGTAATAAAACTGAACCAAAATAATTGATTTTTATTACCATTTAGTATGGACTATGAAAGTTTGTAATCATCACATGATGTTATACCAAAATAATGTTTGAACGGCGCCGGGAGGTGTTTTTTCTATACTTATTAATTCTTATAATATAATTGTGATTCGGTTAAATCATTATCTGCGAGTTATAAATCGTTTCAGTCGCCCTTTGAACTCTCTGAGTCGCGCAGAACATTTTCGCCATTCCCTTTACATAGACTTACAAACGTCGTTGAATGCGATTGACAAAGAGCGTGAATTTCCAAAATTGCGATGAAATTCTTGGCTATAAAAACAAAGTCGTCTTGGCCGTACTTAAAAAAACCACTCCACGGATGATCAAGAAAAAGAAATTGACGAAGATCACCTCTAGAACGTTGCGTGCAACTCCTGTTCGAAATTGAATACCCGTGTCATTCGTGGAGTGCTTGTTTTCAGCCCATTGCCATATAGACATGAGACTGAAACATGTGACTCCTATCATCACTCTACCGAATACTGGAGGTATTGCAAGGCTTTTGTTCAATTCCGAGGTTAATATACCTGTGGTGTTGAGTGTGAAGCTTGGTAGAGTCTCCTTAAGGGTTTTGTTTAATGTGGCTATAACATCTGCAGGTAGGCTCTGAGGTTCATTCGCACGTCCTATGTCATCCAAAACAATGTCAATCATGTCAATAACATCCAACAGATCGATGGCCATTTGAAAAGACAGCTTGAACACCAAATCTCTGGTTCTTGAGATCGATCCAGGTCATCTGCATTGTGTAGCAACAATAATAACAGAGGAGGCGTTAGGCATAGAAGTCCCTTTAAGAGACCTAAACTCGGGAACTTCTTGGTGCCAAGATTGTCTCCAACCAATCCAAAAATAGGTCCGCAATGCGTACATGTGTAGTGCTGGGTAATTGAGTAATGTGTATATGGTTATATAGGATTGCGTTAGACTTCGTGAATGAATGCAATTAGGATTTATCCACCATAGAGTATAGGAGTGGAGGCTGGGGTATAATCTAACAGTCTAGCAAAGAAATATGGCTAGAACTAACAAACGTGCTGAAGGTGATATAGAAAAGTAAGGACGAGTAGAGGTTGGTCTGCTTTGGGGTGTGGTTGAAATCATTGCAGACCCTTTTCTGGAAGTAGTGCTAACTATTGTGAATTTGTTATTTTTAACATCACAGTGTTAACGATGAAATGAATTGAACACAACTTTATTTCAAGGCAACTAGTTGTAAATGAGAAATACAAAGGGTTATCAAGAGGTCTCAATCCCAGCTGACCTAATCGATAGTTTAACAATAAGGTGGAACCTACTGACAATGCAGTTTGATCACAGACATTTTGCTCGGGGCCTGGATTTAACTCGATATCACCGGACATCAAAAGCTTCATTTTCGATACACAATATCTTTTGGTACAGCTACATGATTTCACTGTTTTGTGCTCAACTAAACAATACATACTTGCTTGTTTACTATTTTGTAACAAATTGCTTGCTGCCCATCTTTTAAGATTTGCAAAATTGGTAAAAAAGCAGTCGCATCTGTGTACGTATGTTATATACCATAACTTATAGTCAGTCGCTAACTTGTACAAATTTGAAGATTTAGGAGTAGATTTCCTGAAAATGCGCTTCAGCTTTCGTCTAGCTTTTCTGTTTTTCGTGGACCTCATAATCTTTTTTATCGGTAATCTTGACGGCTCTCGGTCTCTATGACGTTTTTCCTGTACTTTGCAATGTCTATCAAATTCTCTCTCACACGGCGAGCACACCTCCTCATCAGTGCTAACCATCGCATGGAAAGATTCAGTAACAACGACCCTTGGGTGATATTTAACAAGATTACGAGTTCTAGTATGACTTTGTCGGAAGGAAATCGCCACAGCTTTCGTATATGTTTGGCTAATGAAAGGTATTTTCACATTAAATCCTTCAGCGGCGAAAGATTTTCAGCCGTTTACATTTCCCTGACAGGGCTTATTTAATCTCTCAGCGGGCTTTGTTATAGCCAAAAGGGGCTCAATATTTCCCACAACGGGCTTTTCTTTCCCCAAATGGGGCTCATAAAGCTTAATTTGTATCCTCCTGGAGATTCTGTCGGCGCCAAGTACCTTGATCTTTAACTTTGAAGCACCTTTCGAAACTTTTCATTCGCCCGGATTAACACACACTTTGAAAGCTGTGGCATACTGAGAAAATACGTCTTAAGAAATTCATCACAAAGTAAGAAATTAAAAGGTAACTTACCGATAGGACAACTCGTATCACACACGTCCAAGAAAGCAACGAAAGCAAATCGTCGTAAGGGAAAGTTCATT